TAGACCCTCATATCTGCCGTAAGCTGACAAAATGGCTTTTTTCATTTTGGAGCCAAGTTTTTTTATTTGCTAAATCAAAAGCCGTATAAGTTACCCAACTTATGTGAAAAAATCAAAGTGAAACTGAGACTAGTTTTTGAATAAAATAGAATTAAATTTTTGGGAGACCGTTATTTTTTTAATGGTTACACTGACAGTCTCTTTATATCGAAACTGCTGTGAATTGTAAAAGGCATTTTGTTAGCGCACGGCAGATGTGTGCACACCTACACACAGACATTCAGTCATTGTCGCAGTAGTATTACGTTAAATTGCCAATGGGGCCTTAGGTGTGCAGATCTCTTAAGCCCATGTATTCTTTTAGTTTTGTAAAGTTTTCTTTAAAAAAGATTGAAATTCTTTTCAGCATCACCAGTGATTGTCCTCACTGAGTATTTGAGAATGGACAACTCGACAGAATTAGCCAAAATAAAAGACCTTCTCATGTCCAGCCCTGACTTCAATGCTGTGGGTGTTGCAACCTTACAGAGGATTCTCACCCGGCCAGATAAGGTAGGGAGAGGCTTTGGCGGTACAGTGAACCTGCTCTAATGAATGGTCGCCTGCCCAAGACAATCACCTGTATAAAGTGACCCCTTCCTCCCACTTCTGCCCTTACGGGGGGGGGTTCACGTTATGAGACTGTCAAAAATATCTACCTGTCAAAGATAACAATTTATCTCCTGGACAATGGATAGCTGTCTTGGACTTTGTAATTGTATATTAGTTGATAATATTAAGGGTTTAACAATGTAAATTAGATACTGTCGTTTGTTTCAGAGTTATTTTGTAGGCCTATTCCCTATTCGCTATATAGGTCTTCAGTTGAACTTTTATGTAAAGCTTTACTACTGTGGAGCCCTATTTATTAACAACATATTTTGTTCTTCATTGTATCATATTAATCAAATGCTGCAAAATTTATGTAAATCTTTTGCATCCAATTGCTTTGAATACCTGTGCAGATTGTATTAAATATTCTCAAGACAAAAAATTCTGTGAAAAACATAAGTGTGGCTTTGTTTACAACACAGGCTGTTTTCGACATGGACCTTGGGGTACTGTGTGTGAATATCACCCAGTTCTCAGAAGCATTTGTTGTCCAAGCCAGTTCTCTGGACCCAGCAATACTCCAGCAAGCAATCTGTGAGCTCCGCTTCATAGATATCAATGTGCTCTTGGAAGAACTTGCAACACATTTGAATGGTCTAGAGGCATTTCTTATTGCGGTGAGTCTTGTTTCTGTTAAACAAATGATCATTGATGTTACAAAAGCCAATATTTCATCTTTGCTTGCATTAGAAAGACATCCTGAGGGATCCTAAAAGATGGCCATGTAGATTACAGTCATATTTGGGTCTAAGTACTTCCTTTTTTTCACTTTTTTTACCATGTTATTCCATTTTGCCAAATCCATTCCTCAACTCTGCGTATACCAGAGAACTCTCGTAGTTTTCCCATGTCTAATTTTTAGACTGTGTCAAGCCTTTTCTTTCATGGATAACAGCAAAAGACCTGTTTGTTTTAAGCAATAAGTAGCCTCCACACAAGGTCCTGTTGGAATCTCCAAATTTGTCTCCTTTCACTTTGTTCCTGTATCACAACTTTCAGTATTTTGGATACCAGCAGTGTTTGACGGTGTTTTGTATAAAAAGAAACTGCAGGTCTTGAGAACAATTACTGCCATCAAGACTCTTAAACATCAGGATATCTTCATACTTCTTTTTTTCACTCCTCTTGAATGTTTTATTAACTATCTTGGTCATGTTTGAAATGGTGCTGCAGGAAGTTAGTTTCCCATCATCAAGCTGTTACCTGCATTCTCCATGATATTCATCTTTGAACATCTGACCTTTTAAAGTAGAGGTCTGGTATGGCTTCATATGTTGGTGATAAAAAAAATACACATTGGCCTACAACAGAACTATGCCAATCCCTAATCTGCTGTGAGCTGACAAAAGGCAGTTTCGAGAAAAAGAAGTTTTTTTTGTCAGCGTAATCATTTATAATTAGAGTCATTCCAAAATTAAAATTAAAATTTATTAAAAAACTAGTCACAGTTTTAATTTGTTTTGCGCAAGTAGGGTAACAAATCAGGCTTTCGATATAGCAAATAAAAAATTTTGGCGGCAAAATGAAAAAAGCCGTTTTGTCAGCTTACGGCAGTAACGTTGTATAGATATAAGCCATGTTGGAGAGGTGGTGAGTCTTGGCTTATTTTTGGGGGGTTTGTTATACTCTTGTTCTTTTTCCTTCTGCCTGGACCACTCTTGATTAAGTGGCATTGAAAAGTTGTTAACAATTTTATTTGTGGACAAACTGTGACTTTCACTTTTCCAGATGGATGACCTGTCTCGGGCCAGGACCAGTGCTGACCTCACTGTGGATCCTGCTGATCTGATTGTTGAGTACGATTTGCTGAATAAGAATTTAGAAAAGCTGGTAACGAACCTGCCCACATTCATACTAGACAGAGATAACAAGTTGACAGATATGTCAGTCTACGCAGCAGAGTGGGACAAATTGGACAACAGTCTGCAACAGCTCGGAGCAAATCTGGAAAACATGACGTAAGTATCTAATTTTTGAAATATGGAAAATATGACTTAGATATCTAGTTTTTACAAGATTGACAGTTTTCTATTCAGATGTCTTTCATGATCAGTAGAGCTTATAGTTTCACTTTTTTCAATTTAGTATTTCCAGGTGGTATTTTTTTGCAGGTGGTGTATACAGTTTGGGTCTGAAGTTTTTATTTTACATGGACAGATCGACTACGTGATGTTATATTTATTATCCTTAGATGTAAGGTTTTCCTTTTTTTAAAGCAGAGGTGGACATTATCTGAAGAAGGGAAGGATATTTATCAGTTCTAAGAATTTTGTCGCTGTATAAGAACATTGTATTAAATAAAAATGATAAATGTCCGTGATATAATTTTGTTGATAAGGAGCATATTTTCTTAATTTCTCCTTCTGTTTCATACTTCTCTAGCTTTTTCTACAACTGGCAGTCGTCTGTAACCATGCTGGTGTACAGCACAATGGAAAAAATCCCGGAACTGAGACAGACTCTTGTCTTCATCGAAGTCGCTGTCGACCTGATGCAAAAGCAGCTGGACCAGATGACAGGTGCGTTGTCAAAATTAGGTTGTACCTAACAAACTACTGTCAAAAATGCTCTTATGGCCACCTGTCCAAGACAGTCACCTGTACTAACAACCGCATCCCACTTCTTGCTTAGGTAAAAAGAAATTATTAAAATGAAACCGTCCTAGACATTCATTTGATTAAGACAACAACTTTTCTCTCTTTGACAGTATGTGGCCGTCTAGGACAACCTTGTCTGTATTTTACAGCATGTGTAGCAACATGACAAAACAAGTCACGTGTCGCTACCTTAGAATTACAAAAGTTTTCTCTTTTGTTTTTGGCCAGTTTAAGTTACTAAGATCATGAGGTCGGAAACCAAATGTTGTATCTGCTCTATCAAAATTGTAAGATTATTCAGAGTCGTTTTCAAGATATTCAAAGAATTGCTTTCGAAAAAGCTTGATATGATTTGAATCGTAAAATCTTTGATGTCAAATTTCTCAAAACTAGGTACTGAGCGGAGAGAACTTTGTAATTCTGAGGCAGAGAAGTGTGAGTTGGATAACACCGTGGCTATCATATGAAAGATCTTTTGAGGCTTGCAAATGGATGAAAATAGTATAAGTCTATCTGCTTTGGTTCCAAAATTATAGTTGATTGAAGTTGAAGAGTTACAAAAACATAATTTGGAGGAAAATGAGAATGTGCCAGATATCTAGAAACAGCCGAGTGTGACGAGAGACTGTTTATTGCATTGCAACACACGTTTTCGTTCAACATGTTGGCCTTCAGGCACATCTTAACTTACCAGGCACGGGCCACTTATGGGTTGTTTGTATAACCTCCATTACATCCTTCAAATTAAATAAAAATGTATAGGAGTGTTTTGAGCCAAGATCAAAGTCCCAGGTATTTGACTCAGTTGTTTTATTTTTCTTGCACTATTTTCGTATTTCTATATTCCCTTTGCTTTTTCTGGACCAAGTGATTTGCAAGGAGGTGTGATGAAACAGCACAAAAACTCCAACATAATGTTAAATCTTCTGTTCTGGTTATGACTTTGTTGATTTTATTGGTATTATATTCATATTTTTAAAAATTCCCTTTTCTTATTTTGAAACCAGGTGCTTCACTAGCGGGCATGAGACAGTACTATAACACCAACATAGTGTTAAATCTTCTGAGTCAAGCCCCAGAGATGCTGCAGACAGTCATGTACACAGTTCTGACCCATCAGGAAAAGGTGAAACTTGGGCTGTTCTGATTTACATTTTTAGCTTGATTACTTTTCTAGTCTATGTAGATATTTAGCTGAAGTACGAGTACAAAGTAGTGATAAAGGAACAAAAGTGAAACTTCTGTTTACTAAGCTGAAGAAAGAAGTTCAATGAACGTTATAAAATAATGCACTGTGGTTTTGAATGGACTATGGTTTTGAATGGTCTGTAGTGAATTTGTGACTTTTGTCTCTCATGTTTTGCTATACTCATGTACTATTGGGTTCCAATTTTAAGCTATAAATCACCCCCACCCCGCCCCGCCCTCCTGCTCCTCTCGCCATCCCCTCTGGTCTCTTCTGCTCTTTTCTTTCCATTCATCTGTTTAATCTTTCACTACCATCCACCCAAAGGGTGTAGAGCATATCTTACAGGTTCAGTTGACAAGTAAATATTGTAACCCATGACTTCAGTCCTATACATTAAACAGTGTGGTTCATATCCCTATCTTAAGTTCTCTATATAGTAGTGTTAGCAACAAATGGATTTTGATTTTTGAAAATCTTTTTCTTCTTTTTCCTCTCTTAGCTTGAGAGATGGCCACAGGCCTTAGAGTCATGGCCCTCTTTCTGTGGAACCCCAGCTGACCTCATCTTCACCGTGCCCCCGGGTCTGGCTTTCAGCATGGCCCAGTTCAAGTCGGAGATGTGCAAAGTGGACCCTGAAGCCTTTCTGCAGGAGCTCAATGAATACCAGGGCACAAACAGACTGATGTTACTTGTAAGACATCATCAGTTACAGTCTTTCCAAATACTGTTTGACAGATGGTGCAAAGTATTGTTAAGTCTTTCTTGTCATGTCACTGACATGATAGTAACAAAATGAGAGAGAGAGAGAGGGAGAGAGAGAGAAAGAAGGAGAGAGATAGAGAGAGTGAGAAAGAGAGAGAGAGAGAGAGAGAGAGAGAGAGAGAGAGAGAGAGAGAGAGAGAGAGAGAAAGAGAGAGAGAGAATGTTTATGGAGCAGAAGTGTTTAGCAGAAGTGTTTCAGCATGTCATGCTATATTTATGTCCTTTAATGTTGTTTGTATCCATGAGTGCACAACATCAACTTTGAAAAACTATTGCCATTGTTAATGGCAGAGACAAATTTCTCTCTGCAAGATGAACAAAGAACGTAATTTTCTTTGTCATTATACAGCTTTAGCATTACTCATAAATCCACTTGTGAAAGATAGTATTTTCTAATATCTTTTTTATGTCGTTGGTTCTGTGCAGTTTGAGAACGGGACCCTCCCTGCAGTGAGTTCTGCAGAGGTTCAGGTGAAGTTTGACAAGTTACTCAAGTCCTACACAGATTACATCATGAATCAGCCGGTCAGTGTTCCAGTGGACCCTTTCTCTCGACTTCTCAACACTACCCTTTGGGATGAAGTTGGAGCTCGCATCTCTGTTTGGTCAAGTCAATCCATGGACTTGTAAGTTTATTGGATTGTTCAACTCTTTCTTTACCCAGGCTTATGCTCACGTAGTTAACGTTGTTAAGCAAAAGGCGCTATTAAATTTTGTACCTTGTTTCTTTTATTTAATCTTTTAGTATCATCGAAGACGTGTACTCTACAAGGTGGTTCGTTACTTTTCGAGATATTTGAAAATAGTTTGCTGGATATTATTTTTAGGACGTGACGTATCTGGTGTACAAAAAAAAAAGCAAAAATTGTTCAGTTTGAGAAACAAAACATTTTTGTCACTGCTGGTCTTCAGCAACTGAACTATTGTGCATATATTGTTTATTTGGTCACTCTTTATAGAGAGTGAATCATCTTGTAGAATACAGTCTTTGGTATCATTCATCATTAGATGAAGTGTAATGCAAGTGAGTATAATGTGCTATCAAATGTTTGAAGAAACAGTTTCTGAAAGCTTTTCACAAATGAATGGCAATGGATCATGGAGTTTTGTAAATGTTCTCAAAATCTTTTAAGTCTTTTTCACTGTGAGGCAAACATTTTTTCTGTTATACTTATTTTCCGCTGTGACTACTAAGATTTATGAATTATCATCCAGGATTTCTAGTCTCTGATGGAAAAGGTGACTGATGCTTTACTTAATTGCTTGTCATCACTCTAACTGCAGTGAGTTATGGTCACTTTCTGTAAAGTGGATGTATATCTATTGTTGCTGTTGCATGTTTTTCCAGCCCATTATCTTAATCATTCTGTGCTGCCATTGTCAGTTTGACTAGGATTTGTGTTTGTTGTGAGTGGTTTGAGCAGACATAGAAGATGTTGTGAGTTGCTGATTTATGGAATCTTGTACATAAATGTATTTGGAAAGTACTTAATGTTTTGTATTTTGTTCTTCCTTCATAGCTCCCCACAGGGAATCTCTGGGATTGTGTCGAACCTGCTGACCTCACTAGCTCCTGATGTTGCTAGCACAATCCTCCCAGTGTATGACAAAGCCATCGCTGTCACCAACATTGTGCTAGATCAGCTCATGGAGATCCTTGACAGTAAGTTGTGTGTGCACTGTGATAACTTGGCTTTATGGAAAATTACCTTTTGTTGCCTGTGCTCCCCAAGATTTACGGATGTGAGCCACATTTTGCAGTTTGTCAAAGTTTGAATCTCTTCATTCAATTCCAGACGTTTTCGACTCGCAGATACCACTACTTTATCTTAGGACTGGGGGAGGAGGGTTGTTGTACCGTCTAGTAGGAAATTATCATTTGAGTTTTTTGTTATAATTTTTAAGAAATTGTATTTTTTTGGATTACAATCAAATAAGAAAAAGTGGCTACAAAAATGGCTTGGTCACAGTGAGAAAAAAATGGTCTATCAGGGAAAGAGTTCCATGCAGGGGATTTCATGTAATCCACTTCTTTTTTCTCTACATTATTTTTTAGATAGGGATAACTTCTGAACTCATGTGGTTTATGGATCCTCCGGTGTCATGTGTTCCTTTTATATTTTTTTTCAGTGCAAAGGCTTTTCTAATGCTTCTATTTCTTTAGCAACTGTGTTGAACAAATCTGTTTTTCTACTCTTCTTCAGGCCAAACATTGGCAGAAGCATTTAAGGAGTCCCCGAGTCTTCAGTTGCTAGCTGGTTTGCTGGATGAGCTTCCAGAACTGCTGGAGACTTTAATCTACACAAACAACTTCGCTCCTCAAAAGGTGAGACTGTTTTAGAGGAATGAAAACGTAACAACAAAAGCGTTGGAGAATTGTTTTTGAGAATGATTATTCTCTAAATATCATGTAGCTGTAACAAGCATTCAAGTTCTTGTAACAAAAACAGAATCTTTAGGTGTACTTGAAATACAAATTTGTTTGGAAATACCTTTCTCTTTTATATAGTTAATGCTAATGATAGTACTTTTGTGAAAGTTATACCAAAAAAACTTTTGTATGGTTTGCTTGAATATTTGATTTTTTTGCTACTTAGGAATGAAAGTTGGAATAATTTTTACCACTTAATTATGTGGTGGAAAAAAACTCTTAGTTTGGTCCATAACTTATTTTATATTGTCACAGTTTACAGCTGCTGGTAAGATGGCTCAGAGAAGGAACTGAGTTAATTACACACCCCCACACCTACCCCCACCTCCTACCTGAACTGTTCAGGCACTTACATTGTACATGTACTTTATCTAAATTGGCTGTCGTGGCCCAGGCAGGTTTTTTTTTGTTTTTGCCGTCTTTTAAGTTCATGAACAGGTTCAACTGTATGTGTATTATTTCAACCTGAAACTTTTTCAATTTTTCCCCAGCTTTCCACTCAGTTAACTCAAGTGATGTCATTTGAGTCATTCTGTGCCATCAATCCTGATGATCTGTTTGAATCACCTCCCAACTCAGTGCCAAAGTGGGACTATCAGGCATGGATGGCTCGGCTCTGTTCTCTCAACATCTCCAGTTTCATGGAAGAAATTGATGATATCGCTTTCACTCGGAAACTTTCTTCAATTGTAAGTTAAACTAGGTTCTGAGTTACTAGTTGTGGTCTTGTATCTTTTCCTATGGAAGGTTGTGTTGGTTTCACAGCAATCTATTTGTTATCATCCTCACAGGGGGCTCTTGTGGTCTAGAGGTTATGGTGTTTGCCTCTCATTCAACAAATCCCAGGTTTGAAACCTGACAGTGACGGAAAATTTTCTTCCCTAAAATTCTCTACTTTCCCCTCCTTTCCTGATCTCTAACGTCAGCTTTGGTCTCCACTTTCAGCCCTCACCCCCACCCCCTCTGTGCCCCTTCCTCTGGGCTCCTGACTCTTTTTGCAGCCATTCTGCTGCTACTCCTTGGCTCTTTCTTACTGCTGTCTTTCAGCCACACCCCTGATCTTAGGGTAAAGTAAAGTTGTTCCCGCATCGAATCTGGACATTTGGGATTGCCCTGTTGGTGAGACAACTTCCTGGGCCTTCGGCATATTGTGGTAGGGTGGCCAGTTCTTTTCCAAATCGCCTTTACTTCCCCAACTCAAAGTCAGGTACCCATTACTGCTGGGTGGGCAGGAGTGGGGGGAAAAAATCCATGTCTATGCGCTCGTTAAAGATCCTTTGGTGGTCCAAAATCTATAAGAGTAGACTTCGGCCGCCACATGAGCAAAATTCAAAATTAATTCCTACTGAACTGAAAGTGTTTAGTGTGTCCCGCACTTTCATATGATCTTATGTAGTCGCAAGTGTCGTAAAAGACTTACCAAAAAAAAAAAAAGCAATCCTCCTCATTTCAATTTGTTCTCTCTGTCGCACTGTATATACTGCACAATCTTTGAATGTGCTAGGGATCTCATGGCGTTTTGTGAAAATGTTTCTGATAGTTAGTGGCAAGTTTTTGTTAAAAATTACAGTTGGTCTTTCCTTCTTCCTTATAAACTGATCCTGTATTGTGCAATCTCAACTTAACCATAACTTAGCTCAACTCTGTAAATATTACACAAACAACTTACTTTTGATAGTGCTAATAAACTTTCATAGAACAGTAAAAGACAAAAGAGGCTGAGGTAGAACTATAATAACCTACCAAGAGAACTTGAACAGATGGGTGATATGAAAAGACCAGGATGATATAGGTTTTTTTGAGAGTGTCTGAGTAGAGAAATATGTTGCAAGTCACAATTGCTAATGTCTGTTTCAGATCTTGTACTTGAAGAGGGAGAGGAAAAAACTCTTTTTCTGACAATTTTGTATGTGTTTGATATTTTAGCTGAACAAGACATACATGGGCCAAATCACAATTGCTGATGTTTGTTTCAAATCTTGCACTTGAAGAGGGAGAGGAAGAAACAATTATACTTTTTCTGACAATTTTGTTCGTGTTTGATATTTTAGCTGAACGAGACCTACATGGGCCTGGACAACATCACAGAGGTTGTACACAAGGCTGAAGACCTTTTCTCCAAGCTTGAATCAGGCCTCGGCATGTCTAACCGTTTGTTTGATCCCGCTGTGTGGGCCCCTGTGGAGAAGCAGCTGACATCTTGGTCTACGCTCTTTGACTCACCTCTTGGGTAAGTATCTGCTGTTTTTTATATATGTGTTACGACGCGGTGGAATCAGGCTCTTGTCATTTTTTGGGCATGTGGGGTTATTTGGATTATCTTAAAGCTCGTTCATTTGTCTAGCATTCTCTGAAAAAAATATTTATCTTGGATACAAGTTGAGATACGTATTAACCCAATAAATCCTGACCTATTGAAGGAGGTGGGGGTCACCTGGTTTCAGAGGTCAAATTTGCTAGAAAATGGCCGCTTAAGTTTAGTTATTTCCTCAGCGTGGGAGTCCGTGGAAACTGAAAATTTACATTTTTTGTTCCTTTTATCAACGTTTTTCAGTAAAACCCACACATGGATGTGTTTCTTAAAGGACATGAAAGGTGTTGAGCCAAAGGGCAGAAATTCAACAAAAATTCCCAAACTGCGGAAAATGCCGGTTTTGACGAGGACCTGATTTCTCCACACTGCCTCACATGAGGAGGAGGAACAAGTCAGCTGTCAGATGGAAATGCTGTTGAAGTCGTTTTGAGTTACTAAGACCATGAGGCCAGAAGCCAGATGTTCTGTCTGCTCTATCAAAAATGGCAATAAATAATTTGGTTTTATAGTTCAATGAAACATATGTGAGAAACAAGGAAAATTAAAAGTAAAAAAAGGGCAATACAGTTGAAACTGTCAAAGATGGTCATCGTTTGAGGAGGAGGAATAAAGTCTTGCACAGTGTCATTACAATAATTTTTTTTTAATGCAAAGAGGGCAGTGGGAAGAGGTTGTTTGTACAGCTGATTGTCATGGATAGGCGGCTGTTGGAGCAGATTCATTGTAGTCACTTGAGGAGTTCCATGTCAAGGCATTTTTCAAAGTACTGAAGCTTACTAGAATTTTTACAAAGCGAAATACTTCAAAAAGATAAATTCTTTATGTCAAGGCTGTAGTGATATATTAGCTTCACTCCCCAAAGTGCTGTTTCTTGTTTCTGTATGAAAGTTGTTTCAGCTAACTCACACTGTATGTAAAAAGAATGGAAAGGGGAAAAATAACTTCAAAAGGACTTATATGTTCGTGGAAACTATTGTAAAGTTCAAGGCAGCTTGGGGAAGAGGGAATTAGTTTGAATAAAGAAGGCATGCAGAATTCATGGAATATGTAGCCATGTATGTATTTCTTTTTCTCAGATAGCCTGGGGACTGGTTATTTTGGGCTCAGGAGGTCAGGATTTATTGGGTTAATACCTATCCAAACACAAAAGTAATGAGTCTGTCTAATGTTTTTTAATTATCATAAATAATACTGCATTGTTTTTAATGAATACCATTAGAATTTCACTTTCTTTAAACTGCGAGTCAAATGTTTTCACAGATTCCTGCAAAGTCAGTTCCTGAACCCGCAGTTACTGTTCCAGTCTCTGTCAGGTGTGCCTGGGATGACAGATATCTTCCGCTACATGGACGCTGTCATTGACATGATGATTACGGGCATGGCACAACTTGATGGTAAGAGAATGAGCTGCATGTCTCAACAGTGAAGGTTTCAATTTGTTAATTTCCTTTTTCCTTACAGACCATCGTTTGTCTCCAACGGCTTGGTTTAATAAAAATGAGTGGAAACAACTTTCTCATGCATTAAAATGGCATCAAGCAAAATTATAAACTTAAGCTATGACTGAGATAGAGATTTCAATTTTTTGATATCCTGTTTCATACAATACCACCATTTGCCTCCAACACCTGTGGTAAATAAAAACAAGTTTCTCATACAAAAACACAGCTTCAAGCAAAATTGCAAACATCAGCTATGCTAGTGTGTTAGTATGAAAAAATCACTCCTTCTTTATCTCTGCATAGAGTGTGACTGGGAAAAGAAAATCTTGTATACTTCAGATAGCACTATGAATTATGAAAACAGCTTTTCATCAGCCACGCCTGGCTCAAAGAGAAGGGTAAAGATGATTCAATATTCTCAAATGAAGCAGGTTGTATACTTTGAACCAAGACATACTTTTTTATCTGACTTTATTCATTCTCCGATGACATTAACTCTGTATAGTGACAACAGAAAAAGATAGAGGAGAACCATACAGAATGTCTCCTTTTTATATGAAAGCATTTGCAAATAATACCGTTGTACCTGTTTTGTATAGGCAGCCTGGCTGATGCCTTTAAGGACTACAGGACTCTCAGTGTCATACTCGATCTACTGAGGGAAGCTCCAGAAATGATTGAGACAGTTCTCTACACTACATGGAGGCAGCCAGAGAAGGTGAGGAATTGTGCATTAATTAATTATTTCTTGATCTTGCCTTTAGCACTTATTGTATTATTTAAAAAATAATTATTTTGTCCTTTTGTATACTTTTTTGGGGGGTTGTCTCAGGAAAAATAACACCAAAATGTTTGGCTCATTATGTAGACAGGAGTAAAGTAAAACCAAGTCAAGCCTCTTACTAATAACAGAGACGATATATATATATATATATATATACAGTTGAACTTGCTCTTACGGCCACCTGTATAAGACAATCACATGTACAAACAGCCACTTCCCTTTTTGTCCTTTTCGTATTTTTTACATTATAATGACACTGTATGATGATTACCTGTTTAACTCATTCGCTACGCCGAGCCGTGGGGGCGGCGCAGCTAAAAGTGCCGTCAGTACGCTAAGCCGCCCCCGGCGGCTCGAGAACCGATCTTCTATTTTAGCTTAGATTCTATTCCAATCCACATATCCATGTTAAAATAAAGGTCATAATATAATGTTGACTTCCAGGTCAAGCATTTCCACTGAAAATAGGAAGTTGAGATTCAGTTTTGAAACGCGATTTTGTAGTTTATTTCGACTTTGTTTTATCGCAATGCCAAAATTATAGCCCGGATACTAGTCTTAGTAATTTTACACAACAAAATCTATCATTATTTTGCCCACTAAAGAAATGTAGGACTCTTTTTTATGATATTGATACGATTGGACTCATATTGCCAATGCATTGTTATTAAGAAATCAATATTTTTGAGTGCTAAGTCTAGATCTAGATCAAAATTGTCAAATATATTATTCATTTACAGTGCCATTGGCCTTACAAGGATGTGCAGCCTTTACAACCATCCTTACAATTTGCTTTTCCATAAATTGGTTAAAGATCATGTCACAAATTCAATTTTGTGTGTTCTACTGTTGAAACAGTGCATATATTTGAACATGTATGCTTGTTGGGGTGTATTGTTAGGGCAAGCGTGAAGTTTGAATTTCAGTGTTAGTGAACATATTTCCATGCACCTATCCCAGTTTGAAAGAAAGTTCTTTTCAATTTATTAGTACTTTGACAGACTCTATAGTATTTCAAATCATTCTCAGCTGCATAGGAAACATCCAGTGTAAGCTTTCATTTTATAGGAACTCAAAACAAACATGCTGACAAGATCTTTCGCTGTCTTACTGGGTACTAATTCTCTCTTGGGTGAAAGGAGAAGCATTTGTCTTTGGTGCCATTCCTAAAGACACAACATCAGACCCATTCAAACAAAAAACCTTCAGTTTCAAGTCCAGAAGCCTTCCTTTTAGTCTACCAGTATCATGTATGAAAGGCAGAGAGGGGGACTAAAAGAAAGAGAGCAGAAGATGTATTGTAGATTAGTACATGTCCATACATCCTCTTCTTACTCAAAATCCTTGATATAACTTTGTTTTGTGTATCTCATGAAGGTAACAAAGTGGGCCCTAGCTATGGAGTCATTCCCAACATTCTGCAGCACTCCAGTGGACCAGATTATGTCCGTGCCCTCAGGCCTTCAGTTCAATGTGTCCGCCTACATTGCCAAGCTGTGTACAATTGACCCTGATGAACTGATGCTTGAACTCTCGCAGTACCAAGGAGTCGACAGATTAACTCGAATTGTTAGTTTAATCATTATCATCATCATTATCAACATCATCGTCATTTTCATCATCATCATTATCACCATCATCATTTCTACCTTCAGTGTTATCATCATCGCCATCACTGTTATCATCATCATCATCATCATCATCATCATCATCATCATCATCATCATCATCATCATCATCATCATCATCATCATCATCACTGTTATCATCATCATCATCATGGTCTTCATCATCATCCTCATCATGGTCTTCATCATCAACATTATCACTATAAATGTTACAAAAGGGCTCAACCCCACATTTTTGTATTTTATACTTTTGTGTCCCTTTGTGAATACATCTGATGCAGGCTTGTTCTTTTTTAAACAATGAAATGCATGATTTTATTGTGGCTTTAAGTTCTCAAAAGCAACTTTCTTTCTACTGTGGCCAAAAGGAAGTGATATACCTTGTTAAGCTTTGCTCCAACCTTGTTTCAAAAGTTTTTTTGAGTTGGTAGTGCAAGGCAAGGCTTTGATGCATGAAGTAAAAAAGTGGTCAAAAATTCAGTTCTCATGTTTGAAAAAAACATATTTTAACAATGGTATAATTTTGTTAATACCTTTTATTTCAGCTCATGGGCAACGATACATCGACGGTGAATGTGACAGCTCTTCAGCTCAAATATGAACGCTTAATCAACATGAGTATGAACATTTTTGAAAGCCCAATAAATATGGATTTGTCAGATCTTCGGATTTTAAATGAATCCATTTGGGACGAAGTGGCGGGACGCATGGATGGCTGGTTCAATGACTCTTTGACAGAATTAATGTAAGTATTTACTTAGAAAGAATTGTACTTTTAATTTTTCAACTAGATTTGATCCCAGGAAAATGTCAGCCCCCTTTATTCTGTGTGAGTTTAGTGCAGTTTGGTGTGGGGATACTGGAAAAAATATTTATTCGTACAACTGTGCTCGATATGAGAGAGCAATGTGACTGAGATGAAACTGGGAACAGAGAAAGGGTGAACTTAAATGTAGCTGACTGTAAGTTATGACAAATGAGTGAAGATCATGTCACTGGCTGTCTTAATTGTAGGTGGTGAGTTCACAAGTGGGAGCGAAAAGAAAATGTAGAATTGTGAATATGCTTTGAATGAGTCTTTCTAACTGATTAACATATTGTAGTTGCTCAGCATGATTTTTTTTTTTTTACTTTTGTTTTTGAAAGACATGAACTATACTTTTGTATATATGTGTTTTTTATGCATAGGTCTGTTGGAGGGGTTGCTAGTATCTTTGAAGGGCTCTTTGGAGCATACACACCGGAGGTGAAAGATGTCTACGACAGACTTGTAGCTGCTGTTGATGTCCTGGTGGATGAAGTGTTGGGCATTCTCAGAGGTATAGTCTAAGTAAATCTGTAATATCAAAGTGCCCAGATTTTCAGGTCATTTTTTATAGGCTCACTATTTTATTTGGTTATTCTAGTCTCAGTCACTCAGTTACACTCTTCATGTGTACGATCCTGGTTAAAACTCCCTGTGACACATTTTAAAACTTTAGTTGGTTGAGGAGTTTCCATAATTTGGCTGAATCCTGTCGGAGATGTGTGTTTAAGTTTTATTGGAGATCCAGCCTCTTGTGTAGTTAAAAAGGGCATCGAGCCAATACTATCCAATGCTGTACCATTATTTTCTTTCTCAGACTCATTTATGCTAATACCATTCTTTTACTCAACTTAATTGACCTTTCACTCTCTGCAATAATGCCTACTCTTTTATTTACTGTCAAGAGGTTATAAAGGATTTGGTTATTGAACTTTAAATTTTCCGCTGCTGTGCATGTTCTACAATCATTCTGCAGAAAGTATTCTTAATGTACTTTAAATCTTACACTGTCATGCCTGCTCTACAATCCTACTGTAAAGAGCTTTCTTAATACAGTCAAGGGCCAGGCTGTGGAGGGATTAATGGTTCTCCTCCATACGGCTGTGGTCCATGTAACCGTCTGTACTGCATGAGACGTGATCCTCTAGACATGTGTATTATTGGGGAATTAATATACCGGTATGCATTTAAATGTTTCACGCATGAAAGAAATCTGAAACAAGGCCATTTTCAAGGTCAGGAAGTGTATGATAAAAGTGTTTGTAGATTTTAACTTGGTGAGAGCACAACACATAGAAGCAACATCCATACAGTAAGTGTTGAAACTGGAAAAGTATGCTTTTAATCTACAGACAAACCTGCTCTAAACGACCACCCATTCAAGAGAATCACCTGTACGGATGACCATCACCCATTTCCTCCTTTGTGTTTTTTAAAAATAGTATAATAATTCTGCCCTAGATGTCCACCTGTTTAAGACAACCACTTTTCTCCTCAACAGTGGGCGGTTAATTTGGATTGTATCACATTTATCATATGAATCTCTTGCTCTGTATTCATCAGATTCTTCATTCCAAGAGGCTTGGGATGGTGTACCATCTTTGCAGAAAATTTTGAGGATTGCCAACTATCTCCCAGAATTTTATGAGACGCTAGTATACACAAACCTCTATTACCCAGAGAAGGTTTGTCTTATTTTTGCCATTTTATTTGGAACCTTTTGTGCACCACTAACATTTTTGCCACAGTTATAACACATTAGCGTAAGTCTTCTTTCTAAGGATTCTAGTTTTTGGCTTGGTGAAAATGCCTGTAACTTTTTTGTATCCTAAATATAACAGGTTTTGTTTCATATACGAAAATCCAATTTTCACTTTTGGTCTGGTCATAAGGTTGACTTATGTAAGGACTGTTAATGTTTTAATAACAGTTTTGCAGCATTTGCAACACAATTAGGTCATATAAGTGCTGAAGATTAGAGGTGTTACAAGAAAGTAACAAACTTAAAAGAGAAGGAGAGATAAGGATGATAGATGTTTGATAGGATAGAAGAGGGCAAACCACTCTAGAGCACCGACCAATCACTCACAAGCTGTTATTTTAATTTTCTCAAAACGACTAAAAATGATTTGGCTATCGTGTTATAACCATGACGATTTGATTTTTATCCACTTGTTCTCTCAAGTCGCCAGCTAATACCGTTACCAGTTGATAGTTAAATGTATAATTGATTAAAGTCAAAGATTAACAGAAGGACTCTTTATCTCAATAATTGCACATAGTTTATACAGGTGTTCTAACTTTGTGATTGTTGTTTTAAAGAAAAATAATGTCACAGTGGATTGTGGGTATTTTAGAATATTGACAGTATTTCTCTATCTTCAAGTGAAATTTTTCTATCTTTATATTTGTTTCATATCTTGATTACCTTTCTGTAATTTAATATGGGATTCATGTAAGATAATGAAAGTATTTATGTTTTACAGATCACTGCAAGACTTGACGTTTTGCGTTCACTGGAAAGCTTCTGTCTGGCACCACCTCAAGATCTGTTCGAGGTACCTCCTGACTCCAATTTTAAACTTGATCAATGGCTGATGGAGATCTGCACATTGAATATCACTGCTGTTGAGGAGGAGATGGCTCTGTACAGAACAAACAAAGTATTTAGAGACATTGTGAGTATATTTATACTACTTGCTCATGATATTTTTATGATTCTTTTGATTGTTTTTTTCATATTCTGTAAATTTGTTTGGCTATACAAAATTTGAATATCAATGTCAACATCCTTTTTACAGTGTTCCTTTTGTATAAACTGTTAAAAGTGTACGGCCAGCCAAGTGTACTCTCTGTAAATCTTTGGAAGAGACTGTGGTTACAACAATGATACTGATTGTGATATTAAAATTACTTTGTTAAGAATCAAGCTCACAGCTGCCCTTTAGAATATGTAACTGGATTTTACATATAACGCATAAAAATCGATGCAGGTGGTTAAAGGTCATGACGCTGGTAGGTTCTATTTGTGTCTACCTGTCTTACATTTTCCTTTGCCCTAAATAACTGTTATTGTGACGATCTGCTTCTTAGTTATTGCTCAAACAAATGAACAAAATCAAAAACTATGAAAACACATCAAAAAGTTTAACAGTGGAAAAGTTTACAAAGCATCACATCTTTGAATCTGAGAGTTCTCTCTCTCTTTTGTACATTCATAATTTCATTCATATTCAACTCACTAATGAAGTCTCACACAGTCTTCAACAGTGAAAAGGTCCATATCACTGATTAGAAATTGCAAATAAGCTATTTTAATCCTTTCAAATCCCTTTTTTTTAAAAACAGTTCAGCAGGTCATAACTGTTCTGCACTCAAAATCCAGCGAGGCATAGTGTGTTCTTGAGCACTGCAATAATCTTGTGTACAAGCTAGAAATTAAGCCACACTTAAATAAACATTATCAATTACTAAACTCCATTATTCTTATGACATTTCTTTTTTTTTTGGTGAACAACACAGATCTCTGGATACCCTGCTCCCCCTCCTGACGTGCCCTCACTGGTGGTCAAAATCGATCGCCTCTTAACTCACCTTGAGAAGGGCATCCAACTGAATGACAGGCTGTTTAATGAAAGCATCTGGACCTACGTCAACAACCGGGTGGGGTCTTGGTTGTCCACTTCTGACCTGGTCAATGACCCAGCAGCGTAAGTGGTCATAACACTTCTGTTGTGGGCTGCAGTATCATTCTTTTTAATAAGTAAATGTTATAAGTTGGAACATCATTTTTTTTAAAGTGAATACTTTTGTTGTAAGCTGAAATATCATTCTTTTGAAATGATTGTTATAAGTTAGAATATCATTTTTTAAAAATAAATGCTTCTGTTATGAGGTAGAATTAAATTCTTTAATGAACACATCTGATATGAGGTAGAATTAAATTCTTTAATGAACACATCTGATATGAGTTAGAATATCACTGAAATATAATTGTTTTAAAGGGCTTTAACAACCTGTCTTTCTTGCGAGGTGATATTACTTTGCAAGAAATTGATAGTAGGCCTACTGCTCACAAAGGGCCAAAGTCCTGCTCTCAGAACTTAGTCTAACTATATCTAGATCATATTATGCTTGGTATTTGTGGGCTTTCTTTGGACCAAAAAATATTTTCATTGTTGCTGGTGTGCATAGGGGGCATTGCTTTTCAATATATCAATATATATATATTGATATATATATATATATATATATATTATATATTATATTAAAAATTTAAAAATATGTGGTTTTATTTTTTATTTTATTATAAGGAAAACTCTTGTGTGTTGTAGGCGAGAAAATCTCCATTTCTTTTTGAGACGTATTTGTGAAAGCTGAGGAATACCCTCTTGTAAAACAACAATATCCTTTGTGTTAGTGAGGGGGAATATAATTTTCTTTAATGACCCCTCTTGTTGGGGGGTGAATTAATTCTTGATGACCCCTCTGATATGGACGTAAGATCCCCAGAATCTTATTTTTTTAGGGGGGCTTAACACCCTTTCTTTCTTGGGGGGGTGGATTTTCCTTTCAAGAAAATTTATTATTAGGCTCCTGCTCCCAAGGGGCCAAAATCCTGCTCTCAAGAACTTATTCTACTTTATCTAAATCATTTATGCTGGTATTGTGGCTTTCTTTGGAACAAAAAATATTTCCATTGTTGTGGTGGGCATAGGGGGCATCCCTTTCAAATATATCAATATACATATATGATATATATATATATTATATATATATATATATATATATATATATATATATAATTTAAATATATGTATATATATATATATATATATATATTTAAATAAATATATATATACACACACGTTCTTGTGAGATTTGGGACCACAACAGTTCACTTTGCAGCTTTATTGGGTAGGTTTCACCCAGAGTTTGCTCCGACTTCTTAAAAAATTATTATCTCTTTAAGTACATAATGGACTCATATGTTTGATCAGTGGCAGGCCAAAGTCCATTTTGCAGCACATTTTCAACCATCATACACAATTAAGAAACACAAATTTGCATATTTCATAGCACCCATGTTATTGCCAGCTTTTTAAAGTTTCAGGTAAAGAAAACTGAACTGAAGAAAGATGACATGAATAACGAAGTTATGCTTCTTTTTTATAAGTGCCCCCGAACAGTGCGTCTTCAAGCATTGTTGAATGTTCAGAATGCACATCCTCAATGAGTAAAGGGTGTAGAAGTGAATCTAGAAAAATGCTAAGTGATAACGAGAATGAGAGTGGGACTGATGTGAACAAAGATATATTGCACTTGATTTGGAGTCTACATAATTTGATAAGTAGGCACCAAGTCAGAGTAGTCCTACAATGGATTCCTGCCAACACTGGGATACCGGGAAATTAAAGAGCTGATGCTCTAGCAAAGAAAGGAGCTAGCCTCCCTCAGCCTGAAATTCTTACGAATTACACCACCTGCTGCCAAATGACCAAGTCAAACCTCAAGGAAGACTGGATGAACGATTGGGCCACAGGTATGACAGGAAGGATGATGTATGGCCACATGAATAAACCACTGGTCAAAGATCCAATCAATGAGTTGAAGAGGGGGGATCAATCCATAATCTTCCAACTTAGAACACAACATGTACCCCTCAACCAACATCTCAACCGAATTGGAGTAAAGCAGTCTGCTGCCTGCCCACTATGTGACTACCCCTCAGAGACAGTGGAACATCATCTGTTTTTCTGTAGAAAACTAACTGATTTAAGGGGATGTTTTTTTCCCAAGCTACCCCACACTTCTAATTGCCTCTACTCCTCAAGACAACAATTAGAACAGACATGCAGCTATTACTGAATGGCATCATGCAGAAGAGTTAACGCTCAGATGCTAATGGATGGCTAACAACAACAACATAACCAGAATGTGCAAATGTTTTCTTTCTCATCTTTTATGTTATGTTTATTCATGTCCTCAGGTTTTTGAGCAAGCAGCAAATGTTATGGGCTCAAGGGTCCATTTTGTACCTGATTCGAACAAACAATACAGAAGCTTTACATTATGTTGATGCTGTTCTAGATATCATTGACGGTTATACAACGGATTTGCAAGGTATGGCTTTTTTTCTGCATCTTTGATTGTAAATGAATAGAAGATGTTTTTGTTTGTTTTTGTTAGGATTTCTTAAGCTACTTTAGTTACTCACCAGACTACATCTTTTTTATTTGATCACTTTTAAGGACAAGCGGGCTAACCCAGATTTTGGGGGTTCCAGAAATCTTGATCAGCACCAAAAGTGGGCATTACCCTACCTATAGGAGAAGTTTGGTTTCATTGGTGTGTAGGGCCTTCATTTGTTTAGTTATCGAGTCTTTTAAAGAAACTGAACAAGGGTCCAAAAACTTTACCTTTGATTTTCTCAAAACAGCTTTTTTCGGGATAGTCCCCTTGTGCTTAAAAGCGACCATTTCAAAGTTTACATTTTCTTTTCTCAAGTGTATGTGTGTGTGTGTGTGTGTGTGTGTGTGTGTGTGTGTGTGTGTGTGTGTGTGTGTGTGTGTGTGTGTGTGTGTGTGTGTGTTTACTGGCAGGCAAATGTGCTTTGATGTACACTGCAATTTTTGTATGTCCTTGTTTCTTTTAAATGTTTTTTATACTTTTTTGAGTTTCATTTCATACTTGATGCGCTAGATAAAACTTGACTGTCTTATTGTATTGAATAAAATACAAATGTCATCACTCTTACTGGCTCTACATATTTTATTTTGTCCCTTGTCCTGATTATTTGTAGGTTACGTTAAAATGTGTTGACATAGTGCAAATTGTTATATTTCAAGAAAAACAAAACAAGAAGAAATGAAAAACAAGAAAAAGGGGAATTGTTTAATCAATAATGATGATAATGATGATGGATCAACATATTAAATGAATTGACGTTAAACTGCCAATTTGTTTTGACTGCTCAGAGTAAGACTCCGTCATATGTCACTTATCCAAATATGTCACATTTACAAATATGTCACTTTTCCAAATATGTCACTTTTCCAAATGACATATGGCGGATTCTTGCACTGAGCTGTTGGTTTGTGCTTTTAATTTGATAATCACTACCTTGCTTCTATCAAGCTAACTTTGTCAATTACAACAGGGGGCATCTCAAATGACTTACCGACCTTGAGAACAATTCTGAGCTTGGTAGAGCAAGCACCAGAGATGATTGAGACTGCCATGTACACCATCATAACACAGCAGCTGAAGGTGAGAGGTTACAAGTGAAGGGATGCCTTTACTCAAAACTTGTTCCACGTCATTTATGATCCAAGATGGAAATGAAAAGAAAGACAATAGAAATTGTACTGAAAAGGATGGGCAGATTAATTTGTACTTTGTGGCCATTCGTCCAAAAATAGACTGAAATTTTGAAAATTGTTCTTTTTTCCCATTGTTAATCATGCTCAAGGGTCCAGCTTAGTGCCCTCCAAATGTGAAAGCTCAGCTTACACTCAAAAAAAGGTACACCCTTTCCTGAAAATGTAAAGTATCCATCAGTTTGCCACTCGTGTGCAAAGCGCATGTGGGTTTTCCCAGATTGTTTTCCTTATCAGTAGTAAAGCTTAGTCCTGAATCTCAACAATCCTAGAATTAGGCATGTGAAAAACCGGAGAAAAAGCCTTCGAGTTGTCTACCCAGCTTGTCTTCCTAAACCAGGAAAGAAACTAGAAAATTCGGCCCAAGAGAAAGGCTTTTTACTTGTAAACTAACAACCTCATAAAATGATCTTCAGGTAGTCAAGGTCTTAACATAAGTTTTTTCATAAATCATTGACTTAGTTATATGTGATGTCTTCCACAGACTGCTCGATGGTCCACCGCTCTGCAGTCTCTGGATGCCTTCTGTAACACTCCAGTGGAGAGCATTATGTCTGTGCCCCCCAACAGTCAGTTTGATGTTGAGGATTACATCCAGCGACTCTGCTCTGTTGACCTTGACAAGCTTGTAATGGAAATTAACGACAACCAGGGATTTGACAGGATAGCCCAGATTGTAAGTATTTTGATTCCTTATTGCTACAATAAATTCAGAGGTAGCCCCTCTCACCTTCTGAAGCCTACTTAGAGATTTTTAACTTATACAATTTTTTTTCAAATCAAATGTTCATTATATTGATAGGATCACCCATTTTCTTGAATCCAACAGAACCTTTTGAGGGAATTCAATAATATTTTCCTTCTGAATCTTTCTTTTTCCACTTATAGATTTTACAAAGACAAGATAAAATAAGAAAGCAATACATAATTTCAGTAGTTTCTACAATAGTTTTTAAAAAATCATACTTTCTACATCTCAGTACTTCTTTTCAACTTGCTCAGTGATTGTCTGAGATGTTTGTTCTATGTGGTTTTATCTATCTAGTAATTTGGTTCATACTGTTTTTCATATATTCTCAGAATATACCTTACTGACATCAATGTGACAAAATGGCCATTGCTCTCACAAGCTACATGCAAACTTCAGACTTCTTGCACTCTCTGTTACTTTTTCGAAATAATGAAACAAAGTCGAGGGCAAGATTTCACTCACTCTCACAGACTCATCCCTTGACCTTTTTCAGTTACCTTCGACAGTGCCCAACATGATGGTTGTTAGCAAGACTTTGTCAGGTTTTAAAGAAATGTAAAAAAACCTCTAGCTAGCAGTAGGTCTTTGCTCTTATGGTGAAAAGTTCTCCAGGAAATCTTTTCTTTTTTTCTTACATGGCAGTTAATAAGTATGGAGTGTGAAAATGAACGAGTCTTATAGAAAAAACATGGACACCAAACAGGATTTCTTTATTTAAAGTTAAAATAAACACTCTATAAATCTGATATGATATAGAGAGGGAGGAAGGGGAGGGAGATGGAGTAGAAGGAAAACGAATAAAAAGAGAGAGAATATTCATTTACACCGACTCTTCTTCTTCAGATGGAAGGAAATGGTACCAGCAGCCTCAACATAACTGCTCTGCTTCTGAAGGCGGATGACGTGTTCCGCTCTCTGGATGTTTACTTCCAAGATCCAATGACTGCTGTGGGCTTTGACCTCAGAGTGTTTAATGAGAGTGTCTGGGAGGGGATTGGTCAAAGAATAGAGGAGTGGACCAACCAACCTATGGACTTGGAAACATTGTTGTAAGTTAAAGTGATGTTTTTCAGTCTTGCACCCTTTCAATAGATTAATTGCTCTTGTTACTGAACTCATTCATTACGACGAGCTGACTGATTGGCTTGGCATTTTTCTCATCACTATGACAAGTCATATCACTGGCTCAACTATGCCTCCATAAAATTACAAGCTATGCCCATTCGGACTTTCCAAAATAATATCCATATTTTAATCTGAATTTTTTTTTAAAACCCTCTTTCAATTTTCTTTCATTTGGCATATATAATATTTTGCAAAGCAAATAGGAAACCAGTAGACGAAACTAAACAGGTGCTTGCTGGCGGACGAAATTATGTTTTGTAGGGTAGAGCACTGTGAAATGTAAGTGAATGAGTAACAACTTCTCAGCCCAGCTAGTTTATTAATTTAGTTTTAGCAGAGTGCTTATCAGATATGTATACAATGCTGGTGCCAGCTACTCATATATTGGTATCATGCTTGAGAATTGCATGAAGGTATGGTCAGAATATGATATGTTGTAAGAAAAGAGAGGAATCTATTAAAGGGTCATCCTCCTGTACTATTCCTAAACTATATCTGTCTGATGTTTTGTGGGTTTTTTAGCTTGACACAGTTTTTGCTGTATACATTTTTTCTTCTTTAAAAAATCGAGAAATATTCTAATCTTTCAGTGAAATCAGGACCATAGTTTACAGTAAGTTTTGTTTATCTGAATAGAATTCCTATAATTTGAGTGCTAATTGCATTCATATTCATATTACAGGCCCCAGATTATTAAAGGTGGCTTAGAGCAGCTGTTTGGATCCCTAGCGATGGACCCCCAGATGAAGCCATACTTGGACCAAGCTGTGGCAATTTCCTCTGTTCTTCTTGATGAGATTGCCATGATTCTTCAAGGTAAAACAAAGTCTCAGAAGAGTATGAGATTAAAAGGAGTTATGATACATTGTAGCAAAATGTTTCAGATCCCAGAAACCATTAGTTTTTGTTTCAAATAAATGCTTTCAGCTGATAAATCGAGGCCATTGTAGTTTACTGTGTGTTTCTATATAGTGTGTACAGTTGATAGAATTCTGAAATTGTTCTAATGAAATAAGAGGACTGTGCTCTTAATAGGTTCTGCATATGAGGTTGGGCAGGATGGGGGCTAGGAGTCTTGACATTAGCCTATACTATAATGAAAAATCAAATTTCTTCACAACATGTGGCAGGAAATTTTTTTGAACTCATAATCAATGTACATAGAGTAGTAATACTTTCTTAAAAATTGTTGACAGCTTCATCCCTGGAGGAAGCCTTTCAGAATGTCCCAAGTCTCCGGAAGCTTCTGGATCTTGCCAACTCAGTTCCAGAGCTGTATGAGGCTTTTGCCTATACAAGTGTGTTTGCCCCTCAAAAGGTTAGTGTTACCTGGATACAGTTGCTGATTTTGCTGAGTATTTTCCCTCTGGTCTGTGTGTTTTGTCCCCCTCTTTTGATACACTTTTGACTACATTCATAGTCATTCAAGTGTTGTCATGATGATATTGAGGGTGATTGACCAAAAAATGTCCCAGTATCCTTTCTTACTCTACTTTTTAAATTATGACATTGAAGATGATGATGATTATAATAAGGAGGAGTGGTAAAGCAGGGAGGTAGAGGAAAGGGCAGGAAAAAACAAGAATTAGAAAGATGAAGATATTGTTAATACAATTTATATCACTCAAAATTTTGTGGGTTGTTTTTTTTTTATTTGCTAAACTTGAAATATTGAGAATACAAGAGTATTCCTAGTAGCATGACTCTTGAGATTTTACGGGTCTATTAGTGAAAACAAACCCTTCCCACAATGCCATTGGTTATGTATTTGTGAGGCAGCGTGGTGATATCAGGCACTCTTCAAAATAATGAAAATGAAGAAACTGGCATTTGGTCATTTTTATCGAATTTTTGGTTTTTTGGCTTAACACCTTTGTTGTCCAATTAGGAACACATTTCTGTGAGTATTTTTACGGAAAAAACGTTGATTAAAGACACAAAAAATGTAGGTTTTCAGTTTCACGGACTATTAAGCTATGGGGAAAAAAACAGACCTTGACGGCCATTTTCTCGCTAATTTTACCTCTGAAACCAGGTGACCCTGACCACCTTCACTCACAAATATTTAGACTTTTATTCAAAATAGATTGATTTTTTTTTCACCCAAAGGAAGGCATACGAACAGGCGTTAAGATTATACCAATAGCTCCATATGTCAAAAGTTGCCGAACGCCTGATTCCACCACGTCATGACACATTTCTTTAACGCTTCCCCTGTGACTAACACCGATGTTGTTATCTCTCTTCGAAAAACTGGAATGGAAAGCTGTTTGTCATTATGTCTCTACTGCCAGTTGGCTTTATGTTTGTATGTGAACCTCTGATAAGGGAAAGGTGAGATTTGTGGCTTTCCCTTCAAGCAGGAAGTGGACCACATTTTTGTTTACTACCTAATTTTGTCAAGCTAAAAGAGAGCTCAGATTCAATGCACTCATTAGAAGTCTATTGCATGCTTGATGATCATCTCCTAAAAGTCATATGTCAAAACGTCCTCAGTGGTCTCTGCGAGCCAGTTCCTTAACTTCACTTGAGGCTTTCTGCAAAACTAAGCCTGAAGACATCCTCAGCCTCCCGCCAAACTCCACCTTTGACTTGAATAACTGGTGGACCAAATTCTGTGCTCTCAACCTCACAGAAGTGGAGATGGAACTGGCCAGCTATAGAACAAGCCGGGACATCCAACAGATTGTAAGTCTGCTTGTATTGACCTGTTGTTGTTCTTTCAACTTCATGCAGGTTTTTTTTAATGCCTTGGTTTTTAAGTTCTTTTTTGTTTTGGTAAGAGTTTTATGGCACTTGCACCACAATTAGGTCATATAAATGCCGAAGATTAGAGGTGTTTCAATGGAGTAACAAACACAGAAAAGGAGGAAAGATAAGGACAATAAATGTTTGATAGGCTAGAAGGAGCAAACCACACCAGAGTACCCGCCAACCAACCACTCACCTTTTTTAAAGAATGGACATAAATTTAGCAAAATGAAAAAGTAGAAAAGAAAGGGGGTAGAAGGGACTGAAGCGGATTTGGTTGGCAACTATCGTATAGTGAATATTGATTTGATACAAGCGTACTTGGGTATTTCTGGCAGATATTCTTTTGATTGTTTTTTGGCTTTAACTTGGTCAAGCTCATCATTTTGATATTTTTGAACTAGCCATTTTCAAATTACTTGTAAAAGTTTGTTCAGAAATATATTCTAGTCAACGAAACCTTTGGATCATTTGACAAGGAAAGTTTGTCTTAAGGAGTAGAGAGTGAGCATTTCTAAAAACATTTAGTCCACTTATTCCATTGCTTCGTATAAACTGCTGACAATCATTTTTGTCTTTTTGATTGTCAACATTCTTATTTCTGTACAAGCCCAACTTTTTCATTGTTTAGCTTAAGTTCTATTGAGAAATATTTTCTCACTTTCAATTTAAATGACTGTTTAACATTCATGTTTTTTCTCATCAGCTGACTGGCTCATCTTCTGTTCCACCAAATATTACCTCACTAGTGGACAAACTGGACTCGTTGATTCAGCGACTCACATCTCAAGGTGTCATGTTCAGTGACCGTGTCTTGAACTCCACAGTCTGGGCACATGTCTACGACAGATTGAGAGTGTGGATAACAGATTTCTCTGCTGACGATTCTTTGATAATGTGAGTTTTTCTTGAATTCTTTATACTAGTCTGATAGTCTGTGTGCTTACCATTTCAGCCTCTTAAATATATTTGAAATTATTAATATGAATTTGCCTTTAAAACGTCTTTTCCTGTTTGCTAATTTATCTGCAGCGGATGTAGGCCTAAGTCATGTATTTGCTAAGGGAAAAATAATTTCACTTACAGCTGTTAGACTCTGCCTTTGAAAAAGATTAACCAATTTGATACATGGTACCCATTTTATATTATGCAAAGCGCACACATTAGACTAAAATATTTATAGACTTATTTTCTGATCCATTTGTTCTTTCAGGTCTCCAACACCAATCCTCAGCTCTATGAATGATTTGATAGAGTCAAACCCAGGGCTGAAAGACGCACTGAAACCACTAGGGCTTCTTGCTGCTGTTTTTGATGAAATGTTGGATGTTGCTCTTAGACTGGAGAACAGTGAGTGTTTTTTTGTTGGCTCAGACTTAATGACACAGATAATTCTTTATGCTTCATTAATGTCTTTGTGTAAGGCCTTTTTCCAGTATGTCGAGATAACTCACTTCGGACATTAAGTTTGTATCATAATTAGCTGGTTGACTTTAAAAACCGAATCTTTGTCTTGCTAATTTTATAAGAAAAAAACCCTCAAAACCACAGGGCCAAGACCAATTGCTCAGCTTCAAGGAAAGATACAGAGTGCAACAAAAATTCTGGGGCTTGTTGCTCAGAGGGATCATTTTGATGTCTGTTCTGAGTGATGGGGATTTCCACCTTTTAGTATGTTATATGTGTACTGTTTGGTAAACGAAACGGTGACCAAGCTGAGATGACGCAGAAGCAACAGAGAACACCAGTATTACTTCTTATGAGGATGACATTGTGTATTCTGTGCTTTTGTCATGCTGCTTTGGTTATGTATTAGGACTGAAACTCTGGGATGGATCGTGAAGAGGGAGGGAGGGAAGAGATGGACATGTTCCAACTGTAGTGACCCCAACACTGCTGACAAGGATTGACAAGAATTGACTGAAATAAGTGTCTTGCATAATTATGATTTTGTCTGCATCATTCAGCAAACGCGTAAGTCAATTTTTTCAGTTTTGAAAAAACTAACCCCTCTACTGCTGAGGTGATTCCATCTATATTTGAACAGACAAGATGAAATGTTCATTCAACAGAGATTTAAACAAAGCCATAATATAATATTATTCCGTTATTAACGAATATACAACAGCACAAGTCAGTATTACATCTTCTGAAACTTCCTGTAGAGACCAGTATGTATATGTCAAAGAACACAAGTGAGTACAATATGTCTACACAACAGTGAAGGGGTTAAAGAAAAAGGAGCATCCAAATCAGAGCTCTGACTTGAGCGCTCATTAATTTCCAGTTAATAAAAATAATCAAACTGAATGAAACTTCATTATAAAATGTCCGTTGATGTCTATTCTAATTACTGCTTTATCTGGATAAACCCCTCGAACTTGATGAGGATGATTGTGAAATGACACTGATAATAATTTTTTTTGCATCCTTTTTCAGGAACTGAGTTTGGGGCCGCTGATATTGTTGAGGGCTGGTCAAACATGCAGAAGCTATTGGACCTCATCCAGATGCCAGGTTTTATAGATGTGCTTTCAGTATCAGCTTCAGAGGTAAGTTCTGAATATTAAATCTAGCCATAAACAGAGACTTTTAGGGTATTTAATTATAATTTGATCAATCTGTTTACATCTTCGGTTATAGGAAGGGCAACTACAATTTCTAGCCTTGTTTTCTCTTGTAGCAAGGTATGTTACTTGCTTAAGCCCTTATAGAAAAAAAATGGGAGGACATGACTGGCATGATACCTTGAAAAGTTTTGAGCCATTTAAGATTGAATAGACAAGGAAAAAGGGAAATTCAAAATGATTTATGGATCCTGATTATTAGGTGACTTTATGGTTTAAAAAAAAGGAATATTTTCTCATAAGATATAAGATGTGCATTTGACAGTCTGTAATATTGTTTTTTTTTGTGTTTTTTTAAAGTAGAAACCTTTTTGTTCTTCATTTTTAACGATTACCATTGTAGAGGTCTCTGGGGTTGTTTTTAAATTATACCAGTAGCAGCATCTTAATCAAAAAGGGCATTTCAAAGTTTGACAAAAGATTGCTATTAATCCTTGAAAATAGCTAAATAGGTTATAATTTGCAATTTTTTTTACTTTTCAGTTCTCAGCATTGTTCACAGACATGGCAAACATCCAAGACTTCTGCAGTCCGGGAACTCCTGCTTCCAAATATTTAAAAGCTCCACCAGGAAAAAGTGTGGATTTGTCAAAGTTGCAAGTTGCATTTTGTAGCATCAATTTCACTGCCTTCATGGATGACTTTGATGCTTTTTTCAACACTCAAAATCTTGATTCAATTGTAAGTTGAAGATATTGAAGTGTAGGTTAGATTAGATAAAGATCATATTGCGCCTTACTTTTATTGTTATCCATTTATCAGTGGTATATGTAAAATATTGTATTCAAGATAGTTTTATTTTAAAATTTTGACTTTCAACTGGACAAGCATAAAACAACAATTTTTTAAAAACTTTAGCTTAAAATCAAATTTATTTTGATGTGCTTCTTTACAACCAAATCCCAGCTTTTGATGGAGCATAGTGTGTCATGTTTTTATTCTTTTGATCACTGACAAGACAAGCTGTTTGGTTCTCCTTCAGGCAAATGGTGCGGAGGACTTTGATTGGAGCCAGCTCAGTGTCAAGCTGATCCGTGTGAACAGCATGGTGGACCGATGGGTGAAAAACCCACCTCAATTTTTGCTGCCCCCTGACTGGCAGCGTACCACATATTGGGAGCAGCTTCTAGAGACAGTGCTCCAGCAGACAGAAGATATGAGTAGCTTGAGAAACCAGTAAGTCTCTCTTTTTTTGGGTATAATACGGACAAATTATTGCTCAAAGACTTCATTATTTAAAACGTATTATAAACAGTTTTGTAGAGAGATCATTATTTTCTCTCAGATCAAGTTCTGTCCAACTGAGATGTTTGCTTAGAATTTTTGCTGTGTTTTCTCGTCTTTTATTTAATCTGCGCACTGGAAAAAAACCAAAGTGGTGGGAAATTTCCCTACTATGAATGAAGCACATTTACTTTGTATAATGTTGTTCACAGAGCTGTTAAAGTACTTTTAAAAAAGTACTTAAGTACAAATTTAAGTACAATCTAAAAAATGTACTTAAGTACAGTAAAAGTACATTCCTATAAAATGTACTTGAGTACAAGTACTTTAAAAAAAAGTACTTATGAGTACATTTTGAGTACTTTCTGCTAATATGCTAAAACACTTCAGCGCTTATGCAAAACATCATATTTTATAACTTATCCAGTATATTTGACAAATTAGGCTATTTATTACTAAAAATGTAAACAGTATACAAAGCATTTGAATATACAATATACGCACTGAACAGTGGAAATGGTCCGTGAAGTTGAACAAAAAACAACCCAAACGAACAGACGCAACTAGTGGGTAAGTGATATTATGAATAGAACTTGTTTGAGCAAGACAATGTGATCAAATGTAAGTCAGTCCTAGGGGTCGGAAAGTTCTACAGAAAGAGTATCCAAATTGAAAAATGTAGATACAAAGTTGCTCTTAAGAAAACATAAAATTGATGAAAATGGCCCGCATAGAAATGGAAAAGTGCATTGAATTCTTCATTAACAAATCCTCAAGGAATCAATGTAGCCTTAAGCAAAAACCACCCAAAAAAAGTTTAAAAGAAATTTAGGCAGCCTAAAAATTGTTAGATACACATTGAGAACACAGTTTCAGCTTCAATTGATTATAGTGGTCTTACAGATTTTGGTCACACTGTGTAGTCCACGGCGCCCACGGCAAACCAAAATACAATAGTTTCCTAGAGTCTAGTAAGTGTAGTGTAACCAAAGATTCTCTACTGCAGTAGTCTCCGCCTAAGATCCCAGTGCTCAGAAGCAAGGAAAATATGGGATCTTAGCCAACGAAGCCAAGGAAGAATCTACAGTGACCCATGAACTGACGTGACCCCTGGGTGGATTTATGACATATGGCAAGCAAAGAGTGGTCAACCTTGATTACCAATCACAGTGGCATGAGGCATGCCATAAATAATATTATATATACACACTCATTAGCCTATCGTGAGTCTTGAGATCTTTATCTACGTTTATCCAGTTGCCCCTCCCCTTTACCTGTCCAACAATTTTAGCTTTCCATCTCTGATTGAGTCCCCCCCCCCAAAAAAAAAACCTCCTTTGTCATTACGCACCATTACGATGTGACCACACTAATTAAAATTCAGGTTGTCTCGCAAATTCGGGAAAAACTGCTTTCAATGGTCAGGGAAGAGTTCACAGTTTGATGTGATCCTGCCTGGAGCGAACTTGTAGGCCCTACCCACCCAGGGAGTGATGTAAGTTTAGGTGGCGAGCTCAGATGCGAGTGCGATGTTTGGGGAAAAGAAACGCATCGGTCAGTTCACACCTCGGTGTGATCCCGTCTGGAGCAAACACTGTACCGTTTCATGGAGTTTTACAACGCTTGTGATCACATTCACGATAGTGGCTGATCTTTGAGGCGACGGGCCGTTCTTTGATCTCAACTTTTAACTCTTGGCGGTTGATCGGGTTTTTGCTCCGTAAATTATAATCAGAAATGCCTGCACTTACCCTTTCATTAAGCTACCAAAGTACTCAAAATGTACTTAAAAAGTACTCAAAAGTACTTTTATAAAAAGTATCGGAGTACAGTAAAAGTACTGGTTTAAAAAATGTACCGGAGTACAGTAAAAGTACCGAAAATTGTAACGTAAGTACAAGTACCGGAGTACTTGTACTCCGTTACTACCAGCTCTGGTTGTTCAAATACCTATCTCTAACTGGCAGAAAACTGAAGTCTCATTATAACAGTATGCTTGGTATTTCTGATGCTTCAACAGAATTAGGGTATTTATGTTCATGTTTAAAAGGAGGAAAAAGAAGTAGATAATAAACAATGATACTATTAATAGTAAAAATGAATGTTTAGAAAATAATGTCTTCAAATTCTGCACCCCCCCCCCTCCCTTTTGACTGGTGAAAAAGACTGTAAAGGATGTATGTGATCTAGTTTCTTGTGTAAATATTGCTGAGTAAATATTGGTTGTTGCTTATTCATATTATGTATGATTGTTTGAATGTGCTCTTGCTTGTTAAGCTAAATAAAAAGATATTCACCTTTCACTCAAAATGGTTACTCTGTTTCAGAATTGAAAGCATCATTAAACAGTTGCAACCCATTTTGGCTATGGATGGATTTAGAGAGACTGGACTTGTCCTCAACTCAATTTTGGACATCTTGAATGAAAATATTCTGTCCATGCAAAATGCTACCTACACTCTGGGCAACGCAGTGAAGAAGATTCCAGCTCTAAAAGACCTGTTCTATTCCCTTGGACTAGATTCAAGCTTCCTGGAAGCTGTTCTCATGGCGCCAATTAAGAATGCAACTCTTGTGGCAGAAATGTTCCTCTCTGAAGATTTCATGACAGAATTTTGTGTCACCAATAAATGGAATGAGTTTTTGGATCTCCCAGCCAATTTTGACACAACATCCTTGTACAGCGCTATTTGTTCAGGCAATGCAGATGTTTTACTTTCAAACTTGACAAACACTTTCAATCTAAACTCTATGGTTGCTGCTTTGAGGGACAGCAAGGCACATGCTGACTGGGATCAGGTGGCTGATAAAATTCTCACTCTGATCGACAATTTGGAAGCTCTGATGAAAAACCCTCCCGTGTTTACCTCAGACGCCACCCTTGATGCTGTCATCAGCAGCTACAGTGATACAGACAGACTGTGGAAGATGCTCTCTGCTCTCTCAGCTTTAGAATCTGGTATGGATCCTGCCCTAGAAGGCACTGTTGGAGGTATCTTTAGAATTGGAGATGCTCTTCTGAACTACCTGAATCAGTTGATGGCTCGTCTACAGCTGCAAAATGGAAGGCTTGATCTTGCCGCATTGTTCAAGGATGTACCTGAGGTGGTTGCCATCATTGATGGCTTCCTGAGTCTGGAACCTGATCCCATCACTGGGCTCCTGGCTGTTCAGTTGGATGCCTCTAAGGTTAGTAAAGTCGGAATAGTGTCTGCCTCTCTCTTAATTTGTAACTTTGAACATTTATATAATTTTTATGGAGTTTTTGAATCTGTATTTTACTAATGGATTCAAAATGAAATTGAACAAGCTAACATCAGAGGTGACATCAAACTAGGTAGTTTGAGAGTTAAGTTTCCTCTCTACACGGTCTATCATACCCACTGGGCTGAAGCTTATCCTAGTCTCCCTAGCAGAGCTGTGTCCTTTACAGGAACTTGTCTATTGCAGGTTTACCTTCCTCTACATGCAAAAACTTCCTGTGCATTTGACTGTAGTGGCAGAAAAAAACAACTCCAGGCTGCCTGAAATTAAATATATGTCCTTTTGACTTTTTCATCCTGGTTCTGGCTCCTTGTCCATTCCAACCACTGACACAACAACAGAAATGGGTTCTTACTTTATTAGATTTTTATGTTAATTTACCAACAACAACCATAATGCAACCATTAGAACAAAAAAACATTACTTTTTAAAATCTAGTCAGATTTTTCTGTGAAGCGGAAACTTTGGTGCAGGAAAACATCACAGCTGTTTTCTTTGAATATAGGAGATCTTTTTTAAATTTTGGAGGTAAGCTTTAAGCCACTTTTATAGAAAGCAAACATAAATGTTGGAACACTCTGAAATGATAACCCTGAAATGATAACCCTCAATTTTTCTTTCAGGAACATGCACAGTTTTATTGAACTGTGAGTGTTTTTCATGAAAATTTTGTCTTTACTCACTTTTTTTTTCAGGCTCAGCAATGGATAGCTGCAACTACTGACCCCTCACGTCTCACGAAGCTCTTCTGTGATGAATCAGAGTTCAGAAAACTGTTCAAAGTCAAGCCCGGATTCAATGTCACGGAACTGCTGAATTCACTCTGTGGTATGAATTTTGATACTGTTGCAGAGAAACTAGCATCCTCTTTCAACATCATGGATTTGGAGGAAAAAGTGAGTATCATTTGCGTCCTGTTTTGAGCACTATATTTTGAAGCACTGCTTTTTTGGTCACTTCCATGTTTGGTTTTGTCAAAATGTTTTCTTCCCTCCCATTACCTTCTTTCTTCTGAAAAAAATGTGAAGCAATTGTTTTATTTGTAGAGAAGGTTATACCATTCCATATAATAACACACTGTATTTGTATGGCTCACCAAGTAATATAGTGGTACAGTTTTGCTTAGTTAATGGGATATCACCATTGAGAGTTCATCAAACTCATTGCAGAGCCCCTTGAAGCTATTATCTCTCATTCCTTCTCTTCATCACACAAAAAATATGCTTTGTATTATGTAACTTTTTTTCTGATTGTTGGTCAATATAATGAATCACCTTTTCTCTCATTGGTCTTTTCATTTTTTTGTTTTGACTTTTAATTTCAGCTGATGAATTCCTTTAACAGTACAAGTCCATTTAACTCGGAGGAATTTATGAGGAACATTGACTCACTGATATCAAAGATTGAAAACCTGACTCAGGTAGATTACATCATGTTTGGTGACCATGATCTTGAAAATGTCTTGATGGTCAACGAGTCACGTCTGATGGAACTGTTGACTGATGATTGTACAGCCGATTGTTTACTGGACAGCTTCACTAAGAACTACCTGAGCATTACTACTTCCATGTGAGTATTTATTCGAATTTTATAATTGTCCTCCTAGAAAATGATTATATCTATAGGGACACTTTTTTGTAATTTTACATAAGTGCAATTTTCAACTAATTTACACACATTTTAAGAAATAATTTCCAAAAAGGCTGTGAGGTTGAGCACACCAGGAGATAAGTTGATAATATTGAATAGTATAATGATAATGAGATAATGATAATAGTTGTATTAAAGAGAATAGTTTGCTTAAGGGAGGAGGGGGGCTACACCCTGAAAGTCCCGATTCGGCTCAAAACTATAGATTTTAAGGTTTTAGCTTCTTCAGCCTCTCTTACAACTATTTCACCACATAAGAACCCCCTAAAGCCTTATTTCTTCCCATACCAGGCATGTTTGTCACCGCCATTTCCTCATAAAGTCAATCTTTCTTTTTTTTTTATCGCCCATTTTCTCGAAACATGGTTTTCTATATATACTTGTTGTAATAATTCCACTATTTTTTTATCCAATCTTCATGAAATTTTAAGAGAATGAAGAAAAGATGTAATACTAAAAAAATAATTTGATGAATTTTTTATATATGGAATAGTTTTTTGTTGGTGGTGTTTGGAGTGTGGATTTTCACAGATTTTTTGCAAGCATGAATACTACTTCAGGAAAAAATTCATTAAAAATGTTCTAGTAGGTACAGGAAAAATTCATCACCCAGATTTGTAGATCGATTGTGTGCCAAGATGTAGGCAAAAAACCAATTTATTTCCATAAAAAATTAGTGCGGTATTAATTACGTAAGACATGTCAACAAAATTCAATATGGCCGTTGAATCCATGGAAATGAATTTTTTTTCTCAAATTTAATTGAGGATTTAAGACTCCTGACTGTGCTTGTTATATGTGTGAAATTTGGTAACATTTGATCCTCTAATAAGCAAGATAGCCTTCAGCTGCCGCCCCTCCCCCCTCTCTTAAGGTAAATTTAAATAGAACTTTGGTTTCTCTTCACCAATAACAGTGGGTGGTCAAAGCTATAAAGATTACATTTATGTTGTCTGACTTTTTAAAAGTTCCTTTCCCTCTAGGATGTGAATTGTTTTTCTTTTACTTTTATTGAAGTGTTTATAAATTGGCTGCAGGAAGAAAAGCTTGTCAAGCTATAGAGAAAATACTAACTCAACTGTTACTACTGCTGGTGACAACTGCTTTCCTTCAATTTCAATATGTATTGTCGACATTTCCCAGCCTTAATATGTGAACTAACCTCACCAAGTCTCTCATTTTCCTTTAGTTTTTTACATTATAAGTTTAACTGATCATCAAACACTATCATTATTAGCTCATATCATTTCTTCTTTCAGACTAAATGATGTACTCAGAGGAATGAGCAATGTTACCGAAGTCAAGACGTTGAATTTTGCTCTGCGTTTCATACGGTTGTACCTACAGAATTTCAATGCATTCCTGACATCAATTGAAGGTTGGTTTAGAGAGCTCTATGCACATCAAGTTTTAGCAACATTTAATTGTCTGAAGCTGAGTGTGAGATGCTTTATAGTTTTCTTTTCAAATGAGTCAGCTGTAAGGCACAACGGGCAATATGCCCTGAGACTGCAACATTTGAGACTTCGAGTTCCTGCTAGAGCTGGAAAAGATAAGCCTTTTGTGTGTAAAAGAGACTGTGTGATTAAAATTCAATAGATAGACAAGACCTGGACATTTTTATTGCTTCAGCAGATTTCAGTTAGTTGTTATCTGCAATTTCCTTGATTTTTAACAGCTTTTAAAAATTAACTGTGAGAATGCCAATCCAATTGTTGATGTTTATTCACATGTTCGGCTTTATTTTTCTTTACCTTTCTAGTCCTTCTCCTTGCTTTCTGGTATTATATTTTTGTTTGGAGATGTACATTTTATATTGCCAAAGTATCATCCTCAGCAAATACGAAATGGACATTAATTTTTGCTCTTTTAGGACTCCGCAAAGTGTTTTTACTTGATTCATCTGAAACGGGACATTCAAACTAAATTGTCTTCCTCCTTAGGTCAACCAATAAACCTGGCAGTCTTGCTGAATAACACAGAGGTTGGAAAGATCATCAAACCAATCCTGGCTGATCCAAACATCCTCAATAAAATTCTCAGCGCAGAAGTTGATGTCAAGGAAGTAAGTTTAATTTGCAACTGATGCATTCGGCGTGTTTAATATGTTTTTATTCTGTTGTCTCAAAGAGAACCTTTTAGTATTAGTGCATAAACAGCGTATTATGTTATTTAAAGATTGTCTTGTTTCAGTGTGGGTTTTATAGTGAAAAGTTAAGTGAGTTGATGGACAAATTTAATGCATATTTCCTCACTTTCTTTCAGGAAACATTTTGAGGTGGAAACAAGCCTAAATTTTTCAACATATTTTGAAGTTCTACTTTTGCCAGTATACTCAAATTCATAATGCTCTGTACCCATCTTTTTGAATTTCATATAATCTAGAACTTTTCTTTATTTAAGCAGTTGGATATGTTGCAAGACAAGGTTCGCTGCACACCTGAAAATGAGAAAATTATAACTTTGAGGTTTGCATCATTCTGTTTCAGTTGTCTCGTGTGATGAGAACTTCCAACCCTGTAGATGTCCTGTGTGGAGATGGTCTATGGTCAGTTGTCAAAGTGGCTGTGAGCGAGAGGCAGTCTCTCCAAGAGCTTCAGTCTCAGACTTGCACTTCTAACCAAACAGAGTTGCTGTGGCAGTCTATCATGTTACAGGCAAATGGTTATGAGATTTATCGTCAGGTGAGAGGCATCAAATCTTTTCACTAGTGTACATGTATGGGCTGAAATCCCTGTACCTCTCTAATTTTTTTCTTTAAAGGTTATGTGGAATTTTCATGAGATAGGATACGTGCTGTGAATAATAACCTAACTTTTAAAGATAATGTATTCTTCTTTGTTACCTGGATTAAGATGTGTGCTGGTTAAAAAATTATGTGTGTTTGAACAGTAAAGAAGTCCTGATTTAATATATTACTGTAAAAATGAACACGCTAGGACATTTTGTAATGGAAATGACATTTTTAGACTAGAAAATCAAGATGAACTGATTAGGAATTTCAAATTAAAGTGTTCCTTTTAAACTGCAGGTAAGTTATGAATACAAAGATTCACAGAGAGATTATATTAACCCTCCACCCCAAATTCCAGAAGAGGTAGAAGGCTCATAAACAAAAGAGCGTACTCTTATCATACTTTTTTTGTCTCTGTATTTCCTTTGTAAGATGGAGGTCATCCAGAAGGAACTAGAGGAAGGGAGAAGCAGTTTGGACAGCCTTGCCACTGGTCAGGAAATGGAGAAATTTGTGAACCTCTTGACCACCATCATCAACCAATACTTGGACGGCAGCCGCTCTATCGAGGACCTACTGGACCTGAAGAGCTTCCAGGACTCCCTGTCAAGAGCTGAGACTCAGCTGGCTCGGACACTGATGGATCAAGCAGCAAAGTGGTACGCTATATATGAAAAATTAGTATCTGGCTAGATGCAGAGCGCATGGTGTTATTAGGATAGAAGAGCTTTTTTCTTATAAATTAAAACCATCGTCGTGGACGTTTAAGGCACTCAGTGTCCTTGAATTCTTTAGTATTCAGTTTGATAAGTTGTCTCAGCTACAGCTGTGACACTTGTTTCTTTCCCATTGCTAAGATTCCCGGAGTACTTCCTGGTCATGTTTTAAAAGAAATCAGTCATTGCTCACGAGCCTTGAAATATCTTATTAGCCCCATCTGGACCAATCAAAATGGTAATGTTCTTTCCTGACTCCTGTTGATTATTTGTTCTAATTTTGTTGTTGCCATAAGTTGAATTTTTCCTCAGTGGCTGGACACTTTTTGAATTTATTGTTTGTTTATCTTTATTTTGCCAATGGCTGTGAGTTAAAACAGGGAGCAGTGAGTAAATGGAAATGTTTGAGGCTCTGCATTCTGTTTCACCAAATTCTGTCTCATCAAGGTTTGAAGCACTAGACTTCTGCTGTGATGTTTTTCTATCTCAATCATGAATACTAAATACAGCATACTTATGATTAATACACATATTTAAATGGATATGCAGTATGCACGTTTGCACCAGCTTAAACTGTGGAAAGAAAAACTGAAAAACATCTTTCATGGGGGTTCCAAGAGCCAATAACTTAGAGCCCTATTTATTTCGGATGATCAACTTAAATTTTCTATTTACCTTCCAAACTTTCTCTCTAAAGGTCTTTGGACATCACTGACATTCTCCTGCCCTCTGTGCTGGACCAAGGCACATACCAGAACGTTGCAAAGACCATCAACTCGGCCAATGTGCTCATGGATGTGGCAATAGAGCATCTCAAAGCTATACAAAGTAAGGAGATCAGTTTTTGTCCTTCACAGTGACTAGATAAGATACATCTTTATTGTCCTGATCCTGGCACATTGGTTTGGTGTTTCATCACACACGCACACATGCATACACACACACACACACACACAAACAAACAAAAACATGCACACACACACATGTGGACACCCACATACACACACACTCTTCCCTCACATATCCTCTCTCCCACACATCTGTGGACATAACCATAATAATACAATTGTGTGCCTGCACTCATAAACAGGCTCACAGTCACATGCATAATATAAATGAACAGTAATTATAAACATTAATAGTGTTAAGGTTGATAATTCCTCAGTATTCTGACTGTAACTCATCGGTATTCTAATGCATGCTTTAAAGGTCATAGGAGTACTAATTATAAGAAGATGATTAAGATGGTAGAAGTTTAATGGACGATGGTAAGAAGGCATGTTAACTGGGTGAATATGGCACAATACAGTGCTGGAATTTTACTGTTTTCACAACTCTTCCCTCACACGATTAATGCCATTTATCAGTACCTGTGTTGTTGAATTTAGAGGTTACTACTGGCCTTGTTTGCCATTGTTATGTACTGTGGCTACACCTTATAAAATTATTTAATGTTTTGTAGTTTTACATGTAACTCACTCTGATTTTTCTTCTTCTTTTTTTTTTTTTTAAGTTGATTTTGGTCTTGTTCATCATTTGAAATAGGCTAATTGTTACGAGAGCAAGACTGCTATGTCCAGTTTCTATACTTGGTCCTGATGTACTTATACATTCTTAAACATTTTCACTGTCTTTTTTTTCATTCTCAGGTGGCTCGATTAGTGTTTCCACTTTGTTGAACAATGCTGATGGCTTGGCACAGCTCATAGAGGCATACATGCGAATGGGAAAGAACATTGCCCAAGCATGGCTCAACAACGAAATTGATCTTGCAAAGGTGATAACTTCTTGCTTACCCCCAAATTTACATGTCCTGCAGTAGGATAATAAGTCCTATTTTGTGACAGATTACTATTTTTTTAATTAGAGATTTTAAACTAGCATTTTAAGGTCGATAACACAGTAAGATCATTTAATGCTCTCAAGTGTTTTAATGGTAACTTTGTACCTATAATCAGATTTATTCTGTGAAGGTGAGAAAGTGTCAAGAGAGAAAGAGTTGTGGGAGAGAGAGAGAGAGAGAAAGAGAGAGAGAGAGAGAGAGAGAGAGAGGGTGGGGGCCTATTTGTTTTAAGAATGTTGATTCTGTGATACAAATAAGGATTTTTTACCTTTGCCTACATGACATACGCTTGCAATTGAAATGCTGTTGTATTCCTTTTCTATAGCTGATTGGACTCTTCCAAGATATGGACAGGACTGGGGTGTTATGTGGTCAGCCTGGGGGAGTGGCCGCAGAACTGACAGGCCAGCCCACTCCTAGCAACACCGTGAAAGACGTGTCCACAGTCATCTGCTCTACCGTCACAGACACTGTCATGTCAGAGATTGAGAACTTTGTGGATTATGACAAGTTGCGGGCTCAGGTATTTCAGCATTCTCATGAAATTTACTTCAAAATTTAAAACCTTATTTTGAGCCTTATATAACAACCACAATGTCTTGAGGTGCAAAATGTAAAATTGAATGATCACTTTGGACAATACTATTACAGTACATCGAACTCACATTGCAACTGAAAGGACTTTATCCATTAAAGGAGAAGTCACAGCATAGAATGATGTTGTTGACTTTCTCGGCTGGGGTAAAAAAGATATTGCACAAAAATTTAGATTGAAAGCCCAAAGACAGAGGGGAATCTCTCATTCATCCCACGCTGTTTCTTATTTGCTCTCCTGTTTTCTCCTCCCCTCGTCCTCCTTTTATTTTACACTATTCCATAACTTAACTTTTGTCCATGTACAACCTTTCTATGGGTGATGAAAAAACAATTCTATTGCTGCTAATATGAAAGATTTGTAATTATTGCCTTGTCATCTTCAGCTGACAGAGATTTGGAGCAACTCAAGCATCACTCCCGACATTACTGGCTTCTCACAAAATGTTCAAGAGTTTGCTTCAGTTGTAGAGGCAATAGCCAACTCATCACTTGCAGTCAGCTCAAAACTCCAGGACCTTTTTGATTTCTCCCAAACTTTGAACTACCTGGAAGACATTGCTACAAACCCTGCACAGTAAGAAAAACTTTGTCGTTCATTTTAAAATATTTACTGTTGATACGTTGAGAACAGAGCAGAATATGAGAGTGAGGTATTGACTCATAGAGTATATGAGTAACTAATGAAACTTTAACAAAAATTATAAAATACATTTGTGAAACAATTATCATTCTTTTAAAAAACTTACTTGTTTCCATTTGAACACAGAATAGATCATTGAGTAAACTCTAAGTTAATTAATAATAAAGAAAACATTACCAAAAATGATTGACTTACTAATTCTACTTTATTCCAATGAAGTAGATATCACAATGTATTGGCGGGAGGGGGGGGGGGGTGTTATTAGACTAAAGATGTTTGTGTCAGTGTATGCACTTGTACACTTGCACATACCTTCAGACATGCAAATATGTAGTCTACGTGTACACATAAGATTACACACACACACACACACACACACACACACACACACACACACACACACACACACACACACACACACACACACACACACACACACACACACACACTCATTTGTACACATTAATGAAAACCTATGAAAATCTGTTGTCTTAAAATTGTAATTGAGAAGTTTGCAAGACGTTGAAGAATTATATGACCAATGAAAGGGGTGAGAATGAATTTCAACTTTTTTCATTATGCTTCCAGAATTTTCCGGCTCCTTCAGCTGGCTGGCCTTGCACTGGAAGGTCCTCTGCAACAGGAGCCAGAAGCCATGGAGATCATGTCTGCACTGAACACTTTTGCTGTAATGCCCATTGTGGATATTCTAGAGGCTCTAAAAGGTAATTAAACAAGAACCGTTAATTTTGAGATGGGTCAATGGTGTCTGTGACTGTGGTGTAATGGTTTGTTTTTTGCCATCACATGCAAAGGACATGAGTTTAATTTTTATGTGGGAAGGGTTTCTTTTTTTATAATTTTAAGTTTCTTGTCAGCTTGCTGAAATGTTGTCTCTCTCTCAGCCCAGATTTTGTCCTGACTGGAAGGGTTGAAACAGCCCACCTTCTAATTATGATCTAAATTATGTTCAGCGAGGGGGGTGGGGTATAACATTTACAATTACAATTGCAAGTGATATGGGTCATAGATTCTATATTCTGCTGTTTGGCATGCATTGACCACCACAGTTTACATTTTAAAATATTTGTGTTTAAGAATCTTTACTTTGTGCGTTGTGAAGTTAGGTTTAACAATTGTACTTACATTATGCATTTTTTTCTTGTTCTCGACATTTAGAATTTGAATTTTGAATCCTAGAAGTTACTGTTTACGAAGGCTATATTTACTTGTCTATATGTCAAGTCTCTCTTCTTTGTTTTGAGCATATCATTTATTAATGCAGTATTAATTGAAAGGCTAAATTGTTTCATAAATTATTATCAATTAAGTTTCATTTTGCTAACATTTGTTTTTTGACAATTATTACACATCGCAAGACCAATTTTATTCTTTTATTTTTCAGCAAATGGCATGACTCTAGAAACGATTGTGCAAGACCCTGAGAGCTTGTTGAATCTTGCTTCTACTCTGCTCGATTTTGACCTTCATTACTCAGTGATTGAAACTGTCTACCTATCCTCACAGGTGAACTTTTTGATTCAATTTTAGTAAAGTTCACTCTCCACAATTTATATTTTAAAATATTTGTGTCTAAGAATCTTTACTTTGTATGTTGTGAAGTTAGGCATGACAGAAACACTTTATTTTATTTCTCCTAGGGGAGAAAATTTTAGCTTTCATTTCCTTTTTGGGAATGACAGGGTTTAAAATCTTGTTGGCTTAGTACAGAGAAATGCTCTTTTGGAGATTGAGTTCCTTCCATTATTGTAGTTCACACAATATTAACCAACTCAATGTGTAAACCAGAATGGGGGTTCAATGAACCTGGACTCACTTACAGGGAGAAGAAAACATCTTCAGCAATATGCTCTGATTATGTGCTACATGAGTAGTGCAAATAACATGAGAACTCCTGATATTTCCAGTACCTCTGTTTGGTTACCTTGCCTTCCTATCTTATTCCAAGAATCTTCCGTAAGCTTCTCATGTGAAATGGTTGAAACCCCTTCTATTGATGAGGATACTGGTATAGTAGCAGCATCTAATAATAGCAGTTGCATGTCTATTTGTCTTTATAGGTGAAGCGTTTGGAAGCCAACATTGGAGATATCTGCAGAAATGTGATAAGTACAGAACCAGTGCACTCAAATTCAAATTTGACCGTTGGAGATGTATTCTGCTCCCTTCAACCTTCCAAGTGGCTACCAAAGTTGAAAGAAGCAGGACTCTCACAAGCAGAAATCATTCTGTTATTTGAGAAGGTAAGTCTTACATTAAAGACAGTTTCATTTCGTCAGTGCAGTTCATTTTCATTTGGCTTATGTTCCAATAAAGACTTACACAATTTCGTTATGGGTAAAATGTTTGTCACACATCTCCACAATCTGTGACTTCAGTCAAGTTTCTCATTTGAAGTGGAAAAATATTTTCTTTTGGCTCAGACTCTCACAATTGTGTTAAGGATGTTTTGTTGAACTAAGCTATGGAAAAATAAGTATTTGATTATAAGATTATTTAACTTTAAGACAGAACAGTTTTAAACAATCATTTTTTAAGTTACTCTTCATGGTTTTGTGAGCTATTCATGTCTTATAATTGATGCTACTCTTGTCTTTCAGATATCGTCTCTGAATGGAAGGTCATCATCTGACCCTATGCCTGATCAGTCAGTTGGTTGGGTGGAGCTAATGGCTAACCTGGAGCGTTTGACTTCCCTTTTGACTCTTAAAAAGGTTGACCAATCTAGTCTGACTTATGTGAGAACAACATGGGATGCGGTCAAAGACATACTGTTTGACAAGACTCTGGAGAGGTCAGTGGTGGAACTGTGTCTTTAAGATAAGATAAGATAGATACATCTTTATTGTCCAGATCCTGGCACAATGGTTTGCTGTTTCACCACGTACACACACATACACACACACACACACACACAACCCCACCCCCCCCCCCACACACAAAAAACACACAAAAACCCCCCCCAAATATGCACACACACGCATGTGCACATGTTTGTGCATACCCTTATACAAACACTTTCTCACACATCCTGTCCTCCACACACATCTGTGCATATTACCATATAATACAATGGTACGCTTGCACTAGCCTATGAGTGTCATTTTTCTTAAGGAATGACTCAAGATGTAGAGAAAACTGATTAATATCAATCTCTGAGTTCACTTGTACTAAAGAACAGCAGCAAGATTTTGAAAAACTTGATCAGTTTCCTCTGGTACAGATATTTCTTAACCACAACAAAATGACTGTTTTTTCTTAAAGATTTTTTAATAGAATCTAGTCAAATTGACCACTTTCAAACATTTTACCAACCTGAAAAATAATTGTTCTTTACTGCACAGACCTATTATGAAATGTGTTCTGCTTTTCAGTTTCTTACTTGGGCGTTTATGTTCCACTTTTTGTATGTTGCATCAACACTTCTATTTGCACTCAAAACAAAGAGTTGTAATAATGATAATAATAATAACAGATAGCATTTGTATAGCGCATATCCCCGCTCAACAGCAGGCTCTATGCGCTTTACACTAAGTTGTCTGGTCAAGTAACATTTTTGTGTGATGTATGTAAAGGCTTGAGCAGCTGGTATTTGGTAAAATTCACTTTGATAAGTTTGAATCACAACACACTGGTGTGAAAGCTGCTGAGTCCCACTGGGTCATAACTCCCCATTTTCTGTCACCAGGGAGTAATTTTTTGTTTGTTGGAATATCAGTATTGAGTATAATGCACTTCAGTTTTTGGAAAGAGAAACCTTTATTAGATTCTAACCAAGAGTTTTTTGGTTTTTTAAATGTTCACATCTTTTGGAAAGAGAAACCTGTATCAGATTCTATCCAAGAGCTTTTTGGTTTTTTAAATGTTCACATCTTGCATTTCTTTTTTTTCCAAATTGTTCTCTGCCCTGCATTTTGTATGTATAATTTTGATGTACATTCTTTCATTTTTTGCATCTGAGATATACCTTGATGTCAAATACTAAAAAATATACAATCCTGTTATTCTAGTGGCCTGTCGTACCTGCAAGTTGCAGAGGCAATGACTGCACCCTCTGATGACTGGATCAGATTCAAGCAATTTTTGCGATTCACATCATCTTCTTTGGACTTCATCAGCAACAACATTGATCATATTAGTAAGTGAAGTTTAATCTGAAAATGAACTGACTCTCTTGGGAAAAATCAGTTAAAGCAATCCATACAGTACTGATTGGATTTTTCTGTAAAAGAATTTATCACTTCATGTCCCTTTCATATCAGAACCTGTTAGTATGGATAGTTTTGATAAATTTTAAATAAAATTCCAACTTTTTCCTGTTTTGATGTTAGTCCAGGTTAATTTTCATTTTTGTTGACAGTTTTATCTTTTGAAAGGGAACCCTTTTGAAACACATTTTTGAAAGCAAGCAGAAATTATATATATTTTACTGTCCATTTTTGCATGCAGAGTAGAATTTATATTTATTTTACTATTTATTCTACATCCAGATAAAAATGCAAGCGTACGTCTGTCAGATGTCCTGCCTGATTCCAACAGAGTTTCATCCCTTATTAACAACGTTTTTGGGACTTCAAATTCAGCAGAGGTGTTAACTGCAAGCATCAACCCCGCCCTGGTATGTGCTTCAATGCTGAAGTGGGTGAAAATCATTGTATTATATCATTATCATTTTTGTTTGAAAAATTTTCAGCAATGAGGCAACATTTTCAAAATTGTTTTCCTTGCCGGACTGTGGTCTAGCGGTAAGACTCTCAGACTCTCAACCAAAAAGTCGGGGGTTCAAATCCTGTCAGGAGCCCAATGTTGTGTCCCTGGGAAAGGCACTTTACACAAATTTTCCTTACTTCATCAAGGTGGAAATAGATACCTGGCCATGGGAAATGAAAGATCTTGTCAGTTTGTCAGTGTATGTGTGCATGAAATCCACAGCTTGAACTGTATGCTTCCTGGGAAGCCGAGAATGTTTCTGAGTTATCTATGGTCTGCTGGGATATAAATGGTTGTAAAGCATAGAGCATAATGTAGAGTGTGGAAATGGACTACACAATGCAGTTATTATTATTATTATTATTATTATTATTATTATTATTATTATTATTACTATTATTATTATTGCCTGTAGGACTATTATTATTATTGTAATGATTGTCATTTGTTTTCTGTGAGGAAGATTGGGTAGACTTTTTATGAGCCAATGTTATCAATAGGAAAGTAGCACGGTTAAACTGATTTGACCATGGGACTGATAAATAGTTGTTTGAAAGGAAATTAACGTTTATTTACTGCAATGAGAGAAAAGTCTATTCATCGCAGTCAGATGAATATTTATTCATTTAATTGAAAATGAAATATTCTTGACCAAGATTTCTGCCTAAGACCAATTTCTTGCACTTATGGCTGCTGTCATGCAGTTCTAAGCTGTGCTGTTCTTAGTTAATTTCGTCCATGAAGTGGAGAGAGGGTTGATAGTTTTGTGCGGTGTACTGCTTCTACTGCATTGCTGTGTCCCTTTTGTTCTAGACTCTTCCTAGCAAAATGTGAATGTTGCCATGACGACTCACAGTTAACTACAGCTCAACATATTTTAACTTTATATTTTATTTTAATAGCAAAAACTACAATTGTCCCATTATTACAACCATAACATCCTTAAAAAAGCTTTCATCTGTCTTTGCATTTTGTGTTGTAGGCTGTCCTTAGCTTCAATTTCTTACATTGTCATCTGAGAGTTAGAAATGACCGTGTTCATCTTGGCCAAAATATCAAAAACAGCCAAATTGGCTCAAATGATATTCCATCATATCTGTAAATATCAAATGAACCCTCCCAGCATGCTGCCACATTTGTAGTTTCGCATTGTGTCTCATTTTTACACTTATTTATCGATTTTTCTCACAACAAAAATTCCAAACCTATAGTTCTCAGCAGATGATATACAATATATTTCTGTCCACAGTTTTACCAATTTTCCCTGACTGACTCATGGGACCTGATCTGCAAAGGAAACTCTTTGCTGAGTACCTATTTCAGCTTCCCTCAAGGAACGGATGTGACTCGGATCCAAGAGCACTTGTGCCAGGCGGTGGAGCAGAGGTCTTCCAGTTTCCTTGAGTTCCTGTCTCTGTTCAGAGCTGGTGACGTGCTGCTTCAAGTAAGCAACTCTTTAAAGAAGATTGTCTTTAAATTCTGAGTTCAAGATAATATACAATAAGATAACATTGTATTGATTTTCAAGAAGAGAAATTGGCTACGGTATTGTAAATACATACATTCACATGCTCATGTCAACACACTCTCACACACACACATGCGCACACTCACATACACACACACACCCACACTCACACCCACACCCACACCCACACACCCACACACACACACACACACACACACACACACACACACACACACACACACACACACACAAACTCACACACTAGTTTTGCACTAGATCTAGTTCAAGAACATTATGTTGAAGAAAATAGTGGCTGTTAGATGATTTAATTAAATCTGATTCTTTATTTCTTTATAATTCAATATCTGTCTCATCCACAGAAGAAAACAAGTTTACGTTATATTATATTTATACAAGTTATGCTGTCTTCTTCAACAGCTTGACATGCTATTGAACAGCCAGTTCAACGAGAGCAGTCGCGTGTCAGTGTGGGAGGCGTTTCATTCCTCAGTCTTGCGGCTCATCGACATGGGAGAACAGCTGCAGTATGCTCAGATGGACGAGGGTTCGGTCATGACGTGGTTAACACCAGTGCTGAACACTCTCACCTCTTTACAAAGTGCAGAAAGCTCACAGTGAGAATATTTTCTAAATGTTCACGTTCGTAGATCTATGTTTTACTGTGGTGTAGAAAAAAAATCATTTAATCTGTCCAATTTGTTTACTTACTATGTGCACGTTATTAGCACTGACATAGTAGCCCATAAGCTCATACGTATATGAAATGGGTTCAACAGATTGCTGTATCATGACGTGAATGAGTTATCATGGGACAGACAGAGGATACTAATGTGCAATTTTTTTCTTATAAATTTTGTGTAAATTAAACTTTTAAACATCTCCATTTCTTTTCGTAAATTTACAATGGTCAAATTCACTCTCTGCACACTCTCCTCCAAACTACAATTTTATAAGCTATAGCCTACCCTGATGGGTCAACAGACGATTTGCCTCACTTGGATTATTTTTTTGCTTTTTAGACAAATGAAAAAGCTTCATTACTAAACATAAAAATTTATGAGTTGTAGAAGAATATAGCCTAATTGCAGAGGTCAAAGAGTTTTTACAAACTAGAGACTTCAGCTTTTCTGCACTAACACTACTGACTTTGGTCAAACAATTGATATTAAGTTTTGATTTATTTTTTTTAGTCTTTACTCAGATCTTTGTGTTACAGAAGAAGTGTTTTTGTTTAGTCTTTCCTAAGATCTTTGTATTACAGAAGAAATGTTTTTGTTTAGTCTTTCCTCAGTTCTTTGTATTACAGAAGAAATGTTTTTGTTTAGACTTTCCTAAGATCTTTGTATTACAGAAGAAGTCTTTTTGTTTAGACTTTCCTAAGATCTTTGTATTACAGAAGAAGTGTTTTTATTTAGTCTTTCCTCAGATCTTTGTATTACAGAAGAAGTGTTTTTGTTTAGTCTTTCCTCAGATCTTTGTATTACAGAAGAAGTGTTTTTGTTTAGTCTTTCCTAAGATCTTTGTATTACAGAAGAAGTATTTTTGTTTCCACAGAGTGGTGACGTTGTGCAACTCAATGATCCTGTATATGAACAACACTCAAACGTTCCTGGAAGCCAGACCTTTGTTGGCCAGAATCATCACGGCCACAAAACTCCTAACAGATCTGGTCCACTTAGTTCCAGGTACTGGTAACATCTCTAGCACTTTTTGATATTTGGAAAATTTGTCCTCAATAAAATCTTGTTATAAAAAGTCTAACTTATTGATGCAAATAGAACATTTTCACGCCCTGTGTTATGATACATATTTTGGCCATGTCATTGCTACATATCATTCTTCAACTGATTAATTCATTCAAGTCACCACTATTGTCCAGTGGCGTCTGTAACCTAAAAGTGAGGGTACCAGACCTGTAATCATGAGATTTCTGAGTTCGGGGTTCAAGCCTCTGCTTGGTCTGACATTGTGCCCTCAGGAAAGGCACTTAACACAAATTTCCCTTTGTGCTCAGTCCTTTCGAAAATGGATGTTAAACTCGGAGGACTCGTAGGACTCGGAGGTCCCACCTCTTAAATAACCTTAAAGTGTTGGTAGGGGTGTTAAACCTATACTGTTTTACCTCTTTTTTTTCACTGTTGTCCAGACCATCAGTCACTGTATCCTCCTACTTGACCACACAAAAGTATGAAGTTCTGTGGAAACCGGAGAGGACAGTGAGCAAAATATCCAGCTGTCGCATTCTATAAAGACAGTTGATCAACACATTTAAGAAACATTTATACAGTCTCTTGTCAGCTGTCTCTATCAACGTGCAAATATAAAAAACAGCTATTGGCATAGACTGTTTAGATATAGCAAAGCCGCTGTAGATATGCTGACAATGAAGTCTTGATACTGTATTGACATTATTTTTTTATCTTATCCTTGTAAAGAAAACCTTTTTCTTTTCCCTCAGAAATGGATGAACTGGTTTGTGCTTTGATGAGTGGAAACAAAATTGACATTATTGCAGCAGCAAATTATCTTGATTCCCTTGGCATCTTTGACAGCATCACCGAGGTGAGTAACTTTAGCCAAAATCTCTTAGTGAAAGGCAAGTCAAAGTGACTGTGTGCTGATGTTTGTATACAAGCATGTTAAATTTTGATGCAACTGATGTTCTCCACACAATAAGAAGCTATTTGCAAACATTATTTTGTCTTTTTAAAAGGCAGTTTATTACTTGAATAAATAAACAGCCCAAAACTGCTGCTTTTTCTTTCCTCCTCCATAGTAACAGCACTTTTTCCTCTACTTCTTTTGTATGTTTGTCACTCTCTTGTGAACCACTATCTCCAGGGTTCCTTTATAGTCGAAGTATACTTTGTGCTGTGGAGGCTAGAGAGGTGAGCAGAGTAAGCCTGATTCCCCGTTTGAATGTCTCTATTGACATCCACCCCTTGACACTCATATGATCTTATGCTGTTGTGAGCGCCATAAAATCTTACTAAAACGAAACAAAATAGCACAGAATCGGTTTCATCTTGAATTGGTTTTCTTGGTTAATGTATGGCTTTGTTGTTCCTTACAAGGTTTGGAGTTTTTGAAATAACTGCAAATGTTGAGGATTGTTACTGATAATTTTAATGTAGTATGTCGTAGTTTAGTTTGATGGTTAAATAAACAAGGAAAGAATTCTGTTTGTTAGTTTGGTTTTCTTCTTAATGCAATATCAGTCTTCATAGAAAAAAAGAACCCCCCCCCCTCCCACCTCTCTAAAGAAGTCTTATTCAAAGTGGCCCATTGTAAGTTTGTTTGAAATGACATTGAACGATTGATATATATTTGTCTTTTACTTATCTCAGTTTGTCGAGGAGTTTGTCAACCCTCCGTCTACGCTGGACTGTTCAGCCCCACTGGAAACCAGCACTAGCTTGACCTGGCTTGTCAACCTCACAGCCACAGGCCAAGGTCTTGATGTCAACAAACTGATGCAGTGCACCGACCACAGTGAAGCCAAATTCAGACATCTTCTCTCTTCTTTCAGCGAGTAAGTTCTAGGTTAACTGGCCCAGTCATTAACCCTTTGAGTCCTGACCTCCTGATGCCACCATGCCCTTCTTTCGGAGCTCCTGAGCGATATGTAATCATCAGAATCATATTATTCCATATCCCTCTCAGGGTAGTCCATGACAGTACTAGCATCTAACTCAGAAAGATCTACAAAATAGTGTCTTGCTCACCGCTGTTCCCATGGACCGGCATGCGGCACCAGGATACTGGTGACAAGGGCTCAAAAGGTTAACCGGATATCCAATGCTATTGTGAACTGACAACGTTTAAGAAATGTCAGTGTTATAAACAGAAATCAAACTAGTTTGATAAATAAAGGATTGTTTGTACTAAGCTGCGATGTTTTCTATGATTGTTGCAGTGAAAACTGATGTAATGTCTTGATTATTTTCAGCACAATGTAATTATGATTTTATTTGAAGCTTGTATATATTTAATGACTTTTAATGAAAGTTCTGATACATAGGTCAGGGCAATAGGAGGACACTAAAGCCATACACATTTGGATTGTATTCTAAGTAAATCATGTTCTCATTTCAGTTATTCTCAAATAACTCAACATACCAAAAGAAGATATGCTGTATTATTTAATTCAACAGTATTAACTGATTCAGCCGGCAAATAGTTTTGACTCTGGACACAAATAATTTGTGACGGCTTCGTGACCTCACGAGTGGCCTCACAAAAAATTAATAAATAAATAAATAAATTTTATAAAACTAAAAATATTCAGAATACAAAGTACTGTTCTATGAAACCAGAAAAAGGGTTAAATGTAAGCAGTCAGGACAAAAAAACGAGAGGAAAGTGATGCAAAGAATAGCGGCTCTGTGTCAAAACACAAGAGACAGTCAGCCAATGTGAGCGACTCTGTGGGCTGAATCAGTTAATGGAGTCAAACATTGTCAGTTTCAGTTTGCTCAGGTTTTTGGATTGTCTATTTCAGCCTGACACGTAACACAACATATGTTTACTGATATATATATATATATACAAATCATTTGCTGCCGTGAATGTTTCAGGAGCATGGACCTTATCAAGGACCTGGTAACTGTGATGCAAATGCCTGCATTGAGGAAATTGTTGAATGGTCCAGATATGGCTCCGTTCTTTGAGTTCATCTTTGACTCAGTGCAAGAGAGTAACAACCATAGTAAGTGGTGACTGTACTTAGAAATTGTATGATCAATACAATTAAATGTATATTTTGTCTGTACAAAACATTTAAGTATGGTAAATAAATTTAAAAGCAGAATTGTTTCAGGCGATGATGGTAATTATGATTATGTTGAATTCTACATATGGCTCCAATATTATTCATCATTAGTTTTTAATGAGACCTGTCTTATTTTGGTGTAAATTTGTTTCTTAAAAGTGTTCTGATATGAAATCTTATTTGTGCTTGTTTGTTTAAGAAAAAGCTCAGTGATTTGTAGTTGTTCATATACTGCCATTACTTTTGAAAGTCTCAAATCAATTATGTTTCAGAGGTAGATTTTCTGTTAGAGTGAAAAGATGACTCTGGTATAGATATTTATTTTTTACAGTGCAGACCCATAAGATATTATATTGTATGCTCCATGGCAGTGATAGAGGGTAAAATGTACCTAATTTATTTAGGTTTGATGTAGGGATTTAATAGAAGTTAACATATTTCCTCAGTGTTAAACTTTTGTTTACTAATTAAATATGATTTATGAAGGAAATATGTAAGTTTTTTCATGAAACATTTGTTTGACAAAATGCAATCGATTGTATTTTCTGCACATAATTTTCAGTGCTTCTATACCTAAGACAGCTCTTCAGTGACCCAACACAAGCTGCAGATTATCTTCGTGATAAACTGGGATTTTCTCAAGATATGGTTGATGCTTTTGTGAATGCCACTGTCAACAGCAATTGGGTGAGTCTTGATTAACTTTCTGTAGATTGTTTTTCTTTACACTTTTTTCTCTCATGATATGTTACTTGAGAACCGGTATGGAATTGGGGAATACAGTTTAACACTGCTTTCCATCAGAGGTTTCAACATTATTTCTGATTATGTCTATAAGTTTGGGTTTTTAAACGTTTTTTACTGATATGAAAGGCATAAAACAATTAATTATATGGTAAGTAACTGAAAATGAAATCAATTTTCCACTCTGGTGTTTTCAGAAAAACAAATCATACAAGGTAAAATATTTCATCAGTGCTCAAGATAGAAATTCTGCTCTTACTTTCACTGAAGAACTGCAATCAAGATTTTGAAAAAAATAATCAGTTTACTTGGGAAGGGGTATTTCTGAACCACAAGAAAAAAAGATTTTTCATCGAATAGGCCTGTTTGAATAGTCGAACTCACTAATTTCATGATCAATGCCATTTTATCATTTCATTGAATGCAATGAGTTTTGCTTGCTTTGGTTAAACTTTTGTTTTACAGTTACCCTAAAAAATAATTTTGTCCTTTCACAGGCTTATCTGTTTGACCAGCCCACACAAACATTGGTGGGATTGATGTGCAGCCCGGATCAGCTGTCTAGTGTGCTGCAGCTGCCAAAATATGCTTCTGTCAACATAAGTGAAGTCAGCCAACTGCTGTGTACTAGTGACATTATTGATACTGTGGAATTCATGAAAAATGTTTCACACAGTAATTCAGATATTGCTGAAGTGAGTATCTTCAACTGCAGACCTCGTAATTTTTTTCAAAGCGTAAAAAAGGATATATTGCAAACTTGTTAATGGAGATCGGAAAGATGAAGAAACAACAACAAAAAGCACATGCGCACACAAGATAATAATGATTTCTTTCACACAAAAGAAAGCAATTCCTCTCATTTTAGCATTTGGATTGATAGATAATTTTTCTGTTCTCCAACTGTATTGTGTTCAAATTCACTCAACCGCCTCTCCCAACACTTTGCCATGAAGGATCAACTGCTTTTGTAGCGTTTTGTAAGAAAATGTGTCATTAACTACAATTGTTTAAAGAGAGCAAAATCAAGTCAGTTCTGGAATTTGTTTTGCCTTGTCAGAGACAATAGTATCAGGTTAACCAGACTTCAAAAATGGTATTGTAGGATTTCATTGCAGGACATTCAAATGTATATGTACGTATTCTTTGAGTATCACATAAAAACTTCAAGCTTTGAAAAAATCCCTGTGCTTTTGCTAGTATGTAAACGGTCAAGAAATATCCATTGGCGAATTTAATCATATTTCACTCAAACATTTCCTATAATGCTTTGACTTCTATTTTTTCCTATGTAGATAACACAGTAGCATGTCTGTATCAAAAGTTTCGACACATAATAGTTCAATTACATAATTATTATTGTATTTTTTTCTGCCTTGTTAGTGTTGTTCAGCTAAAAAGAAAGTACCTCACAGGTTTATGTGCTAAGATGCCGACCATTTTGCCTTCCCAGTTACTGTCAAAGAATTCCAAGGATGTAGCAGAACTGATTAAGCGACTAACAATGGAAGTGGTCACTATGATAGACAGTTTTCAGGATATCATCCAGCTAACTTCAACAGTCTTCAGTGGTCTGGACATCGACAGTTTAACGCAGAACTTGGATGTGGTTGATAAGATCATCGAGAACAATGATTTTGTAAGACTGGCACAAAGGTCAGTTTTAACTCATTGCCTACTGGAAGTTGAATTGTGTGGCTCATGCAGCCTATGCTTAATAGTTATGAGCACCGTTTTGCGGTTCAGTATGAAAACAAAATTGACATGAGACAAACTTTATTGATCCTTTAGAGAAATTATTGGTGGATAAACCAGAACATCAACCCACAAAGATTCAGCATCAACACAAAAATGCACTCATTACATTCATGCACAATGATACACATACAACAAGGCACAAAAATTACTTGTTCACACAGGTGTTCAAGAGTTGTTAGCAGACTCCACTATTTTACACTCTGTTACTTTCTTCTTTGTACTGTCTGATTCAAAATTGATTTCCATGCATTTAATATATAGGCCCTATAATACATTTTGATTCCTCTTTAAAATGAAGAAAAAATTACATTTTTGAAAATACAGTCGGGTAAGTTAAATAACTGCCAAAAGTCAGATAGGAAAAAATAACTTCGAAAATGACTAGGTCACAGTGAGGAAAATGGTCTTGTAGGGTAAGAGATAGCACTGAAGTTCACCAAGTACGATTTTTACTGTGCGTTCATTTTCATTTTGAGCTCCAAAGTCATTTTTTTCTCTAAATAATGCTTTTGCATTATAAGGTAATTTAGATATCAAGTAGAGGTTTCTGCAAGCTTTTGTGCAGGTAGAAAGAGATGGATTAACAGTGAAGGAGTACAGGTTTTGATCTATATTTGTCAGTGATAAATGCACTAAGGTGATTTAAGTTTAAATCAAGTGTCTGTATCTTTTTTTTTCAGTTTGCACACATGTGACATTTTTGTTGATACTGGTATCTTTAATTCACTTTTTTTTATCATTTCCTATAAAGTCTGAGGAACATATTGGATGACATAAGGCAGTTGGTGCCCCAAGGCATTGGTTACACCATCGTTAATGACATTGAACGCATCATAGATGGTATCATGGGTCTGGACATCCTCCAAAATGCATTCTTAAATGAAAGTAAGTGTTCACTCTTTTTGTCTTGAATAATATAGATTGTGTTTCAGGATTTATTTTTACAACATGCACATGAATAATTTCCCCTTATGGTGTATCTTTAAAAATAATTTTGAGTTTTTCTTATACATTCTACTTGTATATGCTTGCCGTGTTCTCGTTGTCTCATATTCTTTGCTCACAACAGTTGGACAGCAAAGATGAATGTGATGCCTTAATAACAGCTCGTATATTTCTGCAATAATTGTTCAGTTTTTGTTTCTTTTTCACTAGCTATTAATTTGTTGGTTGGCTTTTAGAATGTTATGAATTTCCAAAATGACCAAATTTTTAAATCTCAAGAGCTATTTATGTGGCAGTACATACAAGGGTGAGGAAGATATGCAAAATCTTTAGCGTTCAATAATAATTTGGGAAGGTCCACTTTCATGAGTCAGAAAGAATTTTTAGCTTCTGATGAATGTAACAAGCAAAATTAATAATTTTTCCACTGTTTTACTTTGTTTTCACAGTTAAAATCAAAGACCTTGTCAAAGATCCAGATTACCTCAAGAATTATTTGAGCAACAGTGTTGGCCTTGATGAAACAGATGTGGACGCAATAATGGATGGAAGATTCAAACTCAAACTGGTGAGAAATTATGTAGATACACCAAGAAATTGGTTGAAGAGTAGCAACATTTAGTGCCTGAATTCACTTATCAAATTGTAAATAATAATGTGCAAAATTAGGATTCTTTTGTAATTACTTTGAATTTAAGTAAAATCTTTTGGTACAAATTATGTGTCCCCAATATATGAATAAAAATGACATTACTTAGTTTTGTTAAAGACTGGAGGTGAAGCATTTTACCAGATTGCAGGAGACGTTTTATGTTCAAAATAATGTTAGCACTTTTAACTCTTGTTTTGTCTATAGGAACAAAGATTTATGCATTTTATGGACGACAACAATTTTTTAGAACGTCAATGAAATAACATTTTGACATCTAAATATTGTGCCCTATGTAAAACTTTCAGTCTGAAAGTACTCTTATTGCTCTGTGGTCTTTTTTACATACTAAATTTACTGATGTATATTGAAATATACCGTTACATTTTCTATTCATGTTATGTATTTGATTTATCCGCATGTTTCAGCTGACTGAAGTGGAAGACATGAAGGCATACACTTGTGATGAAGTCGTCGACAAACTCGTCATTCTCAACAGCACAGAGGCGACTCTCAGGGAAATCCGTGCCTCTTTCTGCTCCCTCAGTGATGACCAGCTAGTGAACTTGCTAAAAGCTTTGACTCCATATTTGGACATTGGTGATTTGGTGACTAAAGTAAGTCTTTCTTTATAATTGTATGAGCCTAATCACTCTGACTTTGTCATATAATGGGTGTTTTCTTTAATGAGTAGTAGAAACTTTGTATTTCAGTTTATCTCAGTGAAAAGAAGGAGGAAAAACACCTGAAATGATTTTCAAATTGCAGTTGGTGAGTGTTGGACTCAGTTTTTAACAAATCTGAAAGAAAAAAACATTTCTATACAAAAATATCTTTTGACTTAAGTAAAGAGGACAGTAAGCCAAAACAAGAACAGCCCACCAAAATATGATGATGTTATTCTACTTCAGTAAAATCATACACATATGATAACTTTTCGATAAAATATTACTTTATTTTCCGCGTGTGAAATTTTTGTGGCTTTGAAGGAATGTTGACCAAAATAAAAAGCCTTTTTGCCACAGAGCAATGCGGGATTAATAGATATTCAATCTCTCTATCTGTTTTTGTGTCTGCGTAGTAGTATACTTGTCTATCTGTCTGTCATACATATATAACCACGGACTGCTGCAGTGAAAGTGTTTCATAACAACATTTTTACTGAATTATGAACTCATTTTGTACCAATTCATGATTCTCCAGTATGTGCATCACATGGATACGGCTTTCTTTGAGTCGACCAACATTACCAAAAGTGAACTGGATGACATGGTGGAGAAAATTGATAGGGGTCAAGTAGTACTTCGGACAGCCTCTGACATCATCATGTCAGCTCCAAACGGGTCATCAGTGTTGAATGCGTTTTCAGTAGGCAGTACAAGTGGTAAGAGGAGTGCCTATACCCAATTCTTCTGTAATAGTCAAAATACATAGGCTACATGTGCTAAATATTCATTAAATTCTTACATATAGTGTCCAGTCCAGTGTTCTATGTGTACTGCATCTGTTACAAGCAAAAAAATGTTTTGTTGCTGTTTCCAACATTTTTCATGGAAAGTTCTTGTTGCTCCTACTAATTTGACTATTGATTGCTTTTTTCTATTATATTATAGTTTTGAGCAGAATTATTGGTATGAATATTCCCGTTGAGTGATATTAGGATCAATACTACGTAATATGAAGCTCTGTTTCAATACATTCCTTTAGATTAAAGATGGTTTGTAACAAGAGGCTGTTCTATTAATGATTAATCTATTACTTATCTGCCTTTACACAGCATTGTTGTACATTACGCTGTGTTTCTGTTAATTTTTTCTAAAGTGCTTTCATCATTTGAGTATTCCTGGGTGGTGTTGGTATCTAACTCTGAATGTTGCAAACCAAAACAAATATGAATTAGTTTTTCCAACACTCTGATTTTACAAATTTAAATGGAAATGTCTCCTTCTATGACCATTTTTTAAATACTTCTTACCCCAACTTTAATCATAAACAACTGAACAAAGGTTCAGTCTTCTCAATTTTTGACTCTCCTGTCTTTCAAAAAATGTAAACAAAAATGTAACATTCTTCTCCGACCATTACTTTGAAATTTTAAAACCTTCTAATATTAGAAATGTAAAACAGAAATGTTTCATCTGACCATTACTGTTTGTTTTTCTAACTCTTTAGTCTTACAAATCTAAAAAAAAGAAATGATTCATTAGATCATTACTATATTTTGTTTTTCCCAACACTCTAGTCTTACAAATGTAAACAACAGCAGAAAATGCCTCATTTGACTATACCTTATCTGCAGCTCTCGTCAGCTTGGAGAACTTGACCCCGGCAATGTGTGGACGGCAGGTGGATGACATCTTTGACATGGACTATGATCCAGGAGTGATAGTGTCCACCTCTGAAGATCTTGAACAGGGGATGGAAGGCGATATCAATGACGACATTGACGATCTTCCAAGTGAGTTTACTTTTCCTCTTGTGTGTGAGTATGGTCACACATTATGTTTGCTGTTCTTATTTTCTTTTTTCTAATTACCTACAAGTCTATTGCTGAAAAAAAAACCTAAGTTATTAAAACTGTGTGTCAATAAGTTCTCTTGACTGAACTTGAACTGGTGTCGTCGCCTTTAGAATATCTTAATTTGTGGACAGTTTATAGATCATGAACAAAAGGAGTTACAAAGTTGCACATTCCTTAGCTTTTAGTCCGGAAAGGGTTTTACTGTGGTCACGACTTCATAAGGTCATATGAACGCCTGGGACTCAAGTTGAGTGTTGTGGCTCCTTATGTCACTGCATAGCATGGTTTTACTTTATGACCGAAGTTTAAAATTTGTGAAAAAATTCAGTTGTACAAAGTTGTTTACATTTTGAAACTAGTAGTATCTACATCTTTGAGTAAAAATCAAAAAGTATGTTGAGATCACCGATGGTGAACCAATTCTTTAAATAAGTGCTTTTAACTGATTCCGTCCATGATTTTTTCAGGCTCTGGACAGAGTTATTTTTCCCTGCTCAGTTTTAGACCTGGGTTGCATCTATTTAATGCATTACTGTGAAGCTCTAAGTCACTCTAATAGGTATTGTCATATACCAAACTGATGGGAATAAATAGAAAAATCTGTTTATATCAATAACAATGACCTATAATCTGTTTGTATTACATTTTCCTTCTGACAAAAACTAATGAGAAAAAAAAATTGCGCAACAGCTCTTCGAAATTTTGGACTTACCGCATTTTCTCAGCTCTACAAGTCCTTATAATCCATAGAAATCAACACAACATTGTAGCGATATCACCCTGGCACACATTTATGCAAGAATTTCACAAATTTAGTTGAATATCTTTCTTTGAAGAGCCTTTTTATTATACCAGGCTCCGTGTTGTTTACCCTTAGATCTAGCCTACATCGCAACAACAAAACAACGATTTTTGCAAGAATTTCACGGAGTTTCGATCGATATTGGCGCTCAGAGATTGAGGTCAGGTTTGTTTACAAGTTCTACTTCCTTTCGACAACTTAAAAAGTAGGAACTATGTTAAAAAGTGCACCTTTGTTTCGGATTTCGTTGAGCCGCTCACAGCGGCCGAATGGACGCAGTGGAAAAACTCAGAGCCGCTGTCAGCGGCCGAATGGACGGAATCAGTTAAGATATTTCCTTCGGGTCTCTCCAAAGTTCAGACAATCTATTTAAGGATTTGCCTGATTGTGACGTTGATTTCACTTCCAACACAAAATGTTTATTTTTCCCTACATGTAGGAGGTATCATGGAGGTATATCCACTATGTAATTTTGTTAAAACAACTTTGTCTCTTGTGGAGAGACCCAGAAGGTTTTCGTGGACCCATCTTGGGCATTATATTGTGAAATTTATTATTCACTCGTTTTCTCCATAGACACATTTATTTGTACTCAGATGACCTCAGATAAACTTGGCCTGAGTTTAGATCTTTGAATCTGGATACTGATTTTTAAACTGGCTATGGCTGCTCTGCTTATTTTATCGTGTGTTTTTACTTACTTGGGTTTTTTTCCATTTTTTTCTTTAGCTATATAACATTTGAAATTCATTTGTTACTTACTTGGTTAGTTTTGTTCTTTTGGTTTCTTTAGCCCTATGACATCTGTAGTTTAGGTTAGGTTATTGCTCTAAAACTGTTAACTAGAGTTTCATCAAATTTTCTGATGGTTGTGCTCTCAACAGATGAGTTCTGTGTGCAGATGTACAACACCATCCGCCAGTCTTCTATTGGCAGCATCTTATGGACATACCTCAAGCCTGTTCTCCGTGGCAAGATACTCTACACCCCGGACAATGCTGCCACAAGAGCTATCATTGCAGAGGTAACTGTTTCTGTTTTCCACTGTGCTTGCAATGTCATTGGTTTAGAATTTCCATGGGTGGTTGTAGGTGCTCATGGTGTAGCTTGCTTCTTTTGTCCTATCAAACATGTATCCTCCTTATCTCTCCTCCTTTTTGTTTGTTTGTAACACCACTAATCTTCTGCACTTTTATGACCTTGTTGTGTTGTAAGTGCTGTAAAACTCTTACAAAAACTAAAAGTTAAAATTCCCCCTGAAGTTGTTGAGGGTTTTGCTAGTTAAATAGAAGTGATAGATTATGAAAATACTGGTTTGTCCTTTGGAAAATTTGTATTCTACTATTCTTTTTTCATGAATTTATAAAAGATAGAAAATATTTAAGAACACTTCAAAGCAGAAAATTGTTTAATGGAAGTCTTCTGTTTGAGCTGAAGAAAAAAAAAAAGCTGAGAATGGTTAAAGACTAAAAGGGAAAATTTCAAAGGAGCAAATTTAACAGCGTATGATAAACATGCAACAAAAATTTTGAACAAGCATATTCTTCAATTGCTACAGCTCTAAGTGCAGTGGGAAATGATAATAAATTAGAACTATTTTTGTTGTTGAGAATTTCTATATAATATAGTTCAGTCTTCTCTTGATTCCATCGATCAACAAACGAGAAATTAGTTCTTCATCATGAGAGCCTATTAAGTTTTCAAATGTTTAAGTTTAAGCCTATGTCTCAGAAGTATAGGAACATTTCTTACTTTCTCTTTTATCTTCCTGTCAGGCAAATACAACATTCAAGGACATGGCAGAAGTATACCGTGTCGCAAAGCTGTGGGCAGAGGAGACACCAAATTTGATGGCTATGGTTGATGCTGCTGCTGGAGCTACAGAGTTGAAGGTCAGTAGGCCTATATATGTTATGATCACCTTTGAATACAGTGCTGGAGTGCCTTTAAAATGGCATTCTGTTTCTTTTTTGATTAAAGAGGCTACTGCAAGTTCTTTCAGAGCCTACCCATGGGAAGGTACAGAAGTAAGATGAAAAAAGATGATTTAGTGCTTATGCCATTAAAAACACTAACCCAATTTTTTCCCATGGCGTGGTATACACTGTCAATATATGTCAGTGTTTAGTCAAAGATATTCTGTTGATAAGTCAATAGATGTTGGTCTTTAGTGATGGATTTCCTACATACCTATTACAATGAGATAAATGGTGGGAATTTGTATACCATACTTTCGCATTTCTGTTGAATTTATAAGGTGTTGAGGTGAGTATTACATTTACATTTTATTTTTTAATTCCCCTATGGAAATGATGTTTCAATTTAAAAAAAATTAATTTGCAATGAAGGATTCGACCTTAAAAAAACTAATCTGTATTGTTGAATATAGGAAATTGTAAAGGTAAACTCACAAAACAACGGGATGTGAGACTGGTATTTTACTCGTCTTTCCAATCTACAGGAAGCCTTAGAGAATGAGTTTGTCCAAGGTCTTCTGGAGTCGACGGTTGGCGTTTCAGCTGACGCTCTCATCTCTGGTGTTGAGGCTCTACAGGTCGACAACTTTGACCAGTCTCAGCTCAAGTCCCTCCAGAGTGCGGCCGAAGTGATCGCCAACTACTCCTCCTGCATTTCTCTAAGCAGGTTTGAGCCCGTGGCCTCAGAAAAAGAACTGGAGGTGGAAGCTTTCCGACTGAGCAAAAGCAAAACCTTCCTCGCAGGTTTGTCACATTACTAGGTTTCACTTTGGATGTTTTGTAATAAATATGATGATAATAATGATAATAATAATAATTATGATAATAATAATAATAAATGATAATAGTAATATTAATAAATAATAGTAATGATAATGAACTTGTTCTGCTCCTTTTTGTATTGCTATTATCCTACCAGTGTCTTTGGGGTAGTGGTTACGTTCCTTACAGGAAATACAAGTTCAATTCCTGAGTGGAGAAGTTTTTTTATAGAGTATCTCCTTCTGTCTGCTTTTGTATCCCACCAAGCCCAAGTTGGTCCCGACATGCAGAGTGGAAGCAGTCCACCTCTATGATCTACATTGTGTTGATGGAGGTATTAAAGACTATTGTCCTAACAATTCCTATTTTGTTAGAACTCACTGTACATTGCATCTCCATAGCTTAGTGGCATCCTCACGTTGATTATCAACTGTCTTTTCAGGCGTTGTGTTCATAATGAATGACGATGACAATGATGGGAACTCGACACGCAGGAAAAGGCAAGCCAGTGGGGAAATCCCCAAGCACATCACTTACAAGATCAGGATGGACGTGGACAATGTTATGGACACCAACTCACTCAAATCAAAGTATGTTCTGTACCTTTATTTGTGTTTTAGAAAATTTAATGAAGTTGTTTTTAACGCCCCCATCGACTTGTCAGACTTTTTTCATCTTGTTTCAGGAAAATAAGCATTTTGGAATTTTTCATCAATTTTCTTCTTTATAAGGAGGTGCCCATTTTCACTACAACATTTTCACCTTTAATTTGTTGGCCAAATTTTTTTCCAGATGGAACCTTGAATGTTACCATGTGCTTCTTGTCTATTTTCTATCTTCCTTAACAAATCTCTAATTGAAAGACCACATCTTACAGATGTCAGGAATATGCAATGTTTTAAAAAGCTGAATTGGCACAGTGCCTACATAAATATACAACTGTATTAATTAAGATTTACTTTGAGGTGTCATAGAAAAAAATTAAGCAAAACCGCACTTAGGAAACAGGGTCACTTTTTCATGGCCTCTTGGCACTATATCTTATTTTGAATTCCTTATATCTTAAACGGTCTACTTCCATACTCTCCACATTTCTGCTTCTTAAATGATTGTCTTGCACCGTCATCGTTGGGTGTCTCTGCACAGGATCTGGAAGATGTCGGCAGAGGACAATTTTATAGAAGATTTACGCTACTTGAGAGGGTTCATGCACGTCCAAGACATGCTTGACACGGCCATCATCAACGCACACAAGAATCAAGCCTATAGAACTCCTGGTATCAGGCTCAAGCAAATACCTTTCCCTTGCCATCACCTTGACAAGTATGTAGTATGAGGCTGCCATATGAAAATATGTATATAAGATATAGGTATAGATATCTGTCTCTCTTTCTCTGTCTCCCTCTCTATTCTGTCCTCTCTTTTTCTCTCCCTCTCTCCTTCTCTCTCTCTCTCTCTCTCTTTCTCTCTCTCTCTCTCTCTCTCTCTCTCTCTCTTTCTCCTTCTCTCTCTCTCTCTCTCTCTCTCTCTCTCTCTCTCTTTCTCTCTCTCTCTTTCTCTCTCTCTCTTTCTCCTTCTCTCTGTCTCTCTTTTACTCTTTCACTCTCCCTCCCTCTATCCCTCCCTCTCTCCCTTCCTCCCAACGCCAGTGGTGTAGCAGTTAGGTGCTTTGTCATTATATACTCTCAGCCCAGGTTAGCCCTGGTAGGCTTGATCAAAGCAACTCACTTCATAAATTACCTAAATAGTGTCAGCGAAAGTGTGTAACACCTACATTTATATTCTGTCTCTCTGTCTCTGTCTCTGTCTCTCTCTCTATCTCTCTCTCTCTCTCTCTCTCTCTCTCTCTGTCTCTCTCCCTCTCCCTCTCTCTCTCTCTCTCTCTCTCTCTCTCTCCCTCTCTCTCTCTCTCTCTCTCTCTCTCTATCTCTCTCTCCCTCTCTCTCTCTCTCTCTCTCTCTCTCCCTCTCTCCCTCTCTCTCTCTCTCTCTCTCTCTCTCTCTCTCTCTCTCTCTATCTCTCTCTCTCCCTCTCTCTCTCTCTCTCCCTCTCTCTCTCTCTCTCTCTCTCTCTCTCTCTCTCTCTCTCTCTCTCTCTCTCTCTCTCTCTCTCTCTCTCTCTCTCTCTCAATATATATATATTCTGCTCTCAATTATCAGCCCTGCTCCTCAGCTGACAATTACCCAGCTGCCTCCTGAAAATCTATTGGTCAATAATTGATACAACTCATCTCTTAATGTCTAGTGCACAAAGGTAGAATTTAACTTAGACAGTAACAGCTGACAGGACCATGATCTGATGCATCTGATACCATAGGGATTGCATCTCTTCTTGATCCGTTCTCATTCGATTTCTATTTATTTCCATCTACTTTTGACCCACATAAGACCTTTATAGACCTAAGTAATTTTTTCATTTTATTTTGTATTAAATGTAATTGTATTGACTGAAGCATGTTTGGTTTTTTTCCTCTTTGTAACAGTTTCATTTTCCTCCTGGGCTCGTATTTGATTCCTGTGATGATGACGTTTGTCTTCCTGGGGACCTTGGGAACAGCAACACACAACCTTGTCTATGACCGGGAGAATGGACAGGAAGAGGTAATTGTTTAACTCTCAGCACACAGAAAGTGTTTGTGGGCCTCCAATTTTGTTATCCAATTTTTCAGCACCATAAACATTTATACAACAGCACTCCTATTTTATCTTTTTGCTTAAAATAAACACCAAACTGAGTAGCCCCCCCCCCCCCCCCCACCAGAGCAGTGCTTCTAACTGAAGTTGTCTTTAGGCCATTCCCAAAGAGGGGATATTAATATGTTCTTATGCACAGTAGAATTGTAAATGGGTTGATTTATCAATGTCATGCTCATACTGTGCCGGAACAACATAGGGGGAACTGCTGCCTTTTCTTTCCTCATCGTTACTATCGTCATTTTTCCTCTACCTCTTTTGTATGTTTGTCACTCTCTTGTGAACTGCTATTTCTGGGGTGTCTTAATAGTGGAAGCAGACTTTCTGCTGTAGAGGCAAGAGAGGTGAGCAGAGTAAGCCTGATTCCTCGTTTAGACTTCAAGATCTCCGCTGACATCCACCCCTTGACACTCATATGACCTTATGCAGTTGCGAGCGCCGTAAAACTTTACTAAAACTAAACTAAAGTGAGTTGAAATGAATGCTCCTTGCAACAAACATTCAGTTTAATGATAAACAAGGTGAATATGCTGCCGTTTTGTAGATTTATGTTATGATGGTAAAAAACTGAAGCGTGCCGTATACTAAGAGTTAAGTTGTTATATGAATCAAAGAGAGACAGATGGGTGGTGGACACTCTGGCATAGTCTGCCCCTTCTATTTTTTGTCAGTGTGAATGTTCCCTTAAGTAGACCTTGCAATGGCGCTCATATGACCTTATGCAGTTGCGAGCGCCGTAAAACCCTCTACTAATAACTAACTAAAGACCTTGCAAAAGGCTGCTGTTACTGTACTTGGAATACTTGGAGATGTCATCTCTGGCTCAAAGATAGACACGGAATGATCCCCCATTGCTAAACAGCTGCTTGCTGTTCTTGTGCATTAAATGCCATTTTTAGCCCAGACCATACTTTGATTTTGTCTCTCTATATTATACATTGTCCACCCTTAGTCCTTGTGTCCCACTTCTTGCCTAAGAGTATTTCCTTCATAATGGTTTGGCGACGTCATTGTACCAACTTGTTGTTGAATACAACTTAACAGAACTAAACAGAAAAAAATACAAATGGATCTATTTCACTTTATTTGAAACAGCTTTGTACAAGTTTTTAAATAGACCAAATCAAAATGAAAGGGCAGTAGATTTTTATGTGGTTTCTTTGAGATTACGCCTCCATGCCTGTACACCAGATAAGTTTCTATGTAGAAATGGTCTTGATGTTGCTTTTTGGGGGGGCTGTAGTCTCGATAAATACTCAACATACACAAATGTCCTGAGCAGCTTTCTGACAAACTAACTACACAATCAGATCAATGAAACAGGTCGGGAGGATTGACAGCAGGAAAAAGTGAGGTACCATAATCGTCAGTGTCTCTTCGAAACCTGAAGATGAAGATGTTGTTATAAGGAGGTGAAATGTAGTTAAATATGTCGTACAAATATGTGTTATAACAGAGAGTGAAATTTTCTCATGTTTCTCTGTTCAGACCCTCAAAGTGATGGGCATGATGTCTGGAGTAAACTTCCTAGCCTGGCTACTGACCACCCTGTTTATCATGGCTGTGGTCAACGTGATCCTGTCCATCATGCTGTACTACCTGGACATCTTCATCTACAGCAACCCTGTCTTTGTCTTTGTATACCTCATGGAGTTCTGTCTCAGCTCAGTCATGTTGCTGTAAGTTCCTTTTTTTGTAAAAACTGTTGTTGTTTTTTAAAGGACAGTGTATTTGAAGTTTCATAGCTCAGTCATTTACAGGCAAACATCTTGGAAATATTAACCTGCACACTGTGCTAAGAGTGGAAGGAATATTAGTGTTGTTTTTTTGTGTCTGTTTCATAGACTTTTATAATGATATCCAAGACCACGACTTTGGTGTGTTTCTGGTTCCCTTTGGAGCGCTCTATTTAACTCAATTTGAAGCAAATGGAGGGCAAGGGTGAAAGGTGCGGTGTGCACTTGACTATAACAAACTGGTGTTTTGCCCTTCATTTGGACATAATGGTACTGCCCGGGGCAGTTAAGGATTTATAAAAAGTGGGCGTCATGACAGTGTGCAGTCTAAGAGAACAAGTCTATGATCTGTGTATTCCCATTCTCAGGTACATGGTGTCTTCATTTTTCAACCGCACGACGATGGCCATCTTGTTTGTCCTGATGATCTACCTGATCTCTTACCTGCCCTATATCCTGGTCATTGGCCTCGGAGTCACGATGGAGTTCTGGCAGAAAGTTTTGGCTGTAAGTATCCGAACACAAGTACCTTATTATTGTAAGCATCTGAGCACAGGTGCTGTATTGCTGTAAGGATCTGAAGGCTAGAACCTTATCGCTGTATTTGAGCTCTTGAACTTTATTTCTGGAAGCATCTGAGCACTAGAACCTTATTTCTGTAAGTGTTTGAGCAGTAGTACCTTAATGCTATAAGTAATTAAACCTTAGTAACGTATTGCTGTAAGGATCATAGCACTAGAACCTTATTGTTTTGTTGTAACAAAAACCATATTGCAATAAATATTTGAACACTGGAGCTAGATTGCTGTAAATATCAGAGCACTAGAACCTCATCATTGAAAGCATTGGAGTACTAAAACATTGCTGAAAGTTTCTGAGTGCTAGTACCTTATTGCTTGCTTATGGCTGTTAATTTCTACGTGTTCGTCTATAAAGAATTTGCTGAAGGCATCATGAGGATGAAAATATACAAACAATGCTTCTTTCACAAAACAAATTCAAATTATCTTGCCTTAATTCATATCCCTCTTCTCTTGCAACACGACCTTTCTCCTTCTCCTCAGTGTCTGGCATCGACAACAGCATTTAGCTTTGGTTCCATGACCTTAGCGTACCTGGAGGAGAGTGGCTCCGGAGTCCAGTGGGACAACATTGACCAAGACGTAATGCGGGACTTCAATATGTCCTTTGCTATGGTCATGATGCTCATTGACAGTGCCATCTACTTCCTTGTCGGTTGGTACGTCCGCAACGTCAAACCAGGTAAGTCGTTTCCCCATGGTCATAACACAATGGTTTCATCATTTGTGAGGCATGCTGACAAAATGAGTTACCTATTGACTGAAAATCAACACAAAGGTCAAAATTGTAGATCTTTAAGTATTGCTTTACTTTTCAAGTTTTACATGTCGTTTATCATAACTACTAATAAATTGTAAAAACTCAACCTATAACTTTGACGTATCTATTTCCATAGGGCTCACATCCATGGAGGAACTCATTTTGTCTGCACGCCTCGCCTCACATTTTTTAAAAAGTTCTTGTTGGAATAATAAAGACGCCTGTTCCTTGTTTCTAATTCTTCATAATTTGAGGATATGGGTTTTGTTTCCTGTTCTAAAAAATGTTAATATGAGACATTTTCACTTTTTCCAAGTCAAAAGTTTCACTTGTTGGCACTGGGAGGTTTTCTAAAGTTTTCTCAGAACCACAAAAAATGACTTTTTGTCTTCTGTAGCACAAATACAAGATGTTGAACACTTTGGGAGCTGAAGGTGTATTCATCTTTTTAAGGAAACATGGTATTAAACAGTCTGCCTCCATGACATTTCAGGGTTTACTGCTATAAAATATTTTAATACAATTTTTTTTAATGACCCTAGATCTGAGACATGCTTATTGACCTTTCATTTGTACAGTTTGTTAAGTGTTTCAGTAAAACACTTCCCTCTTTTAAAGAAGCAATGAAAGAAGGATGCTGCTGTATATCTTTAAGTTGTCTCTTGTGAGCTCAAGTGCTCAGGTCCTGTAGGCTCAAAGGACCATGGCACAAAGTGCTATCTATGATGTGTTTCTGTCTTGAAAAACGTCAGATCAATGTAAACGGCATACCATTTTGATTTTTGTCTTTCCACTTGTTCGCTTTTTCTTTTCTTTTCTATATGTATGTTTTATTCCTGACTGCTGTCTTTGTTTTTTGAATACTTGTTAGATATCATTACCATTGTAGTCCTCTATGACTAACAAATCCCTCCTGTCGCTGTGTTTGACAGGCAAGTTTGGCGTGTCCTGGCCGTGGTACTTCCCTGTGATGCCGACGTACTGGAGCAGCTGCTTCAGAAGTAAGGGAAGTGGGGACTCCTCTAACGAAGCTACAGCTGAGACTCTAGGTAAGAATTGCAATCTTACTGTAGCATTTTTTCATAAGTTTTTTAAACACAATTATCAGACAAACATTTCCCATTCAATGGCAGAAGAGAAAACAGCATTACAGCATAAAATGCCCTAAGGTCTGGCACTTGATTATGATGTCATATATTTTTATAGCACAAAATGTTCACTGCACAAGGCAAAATTTGTTGTCTGGGCCAAAAAATTGTTAACTAGCTGTAGTGACAATGAATTTAAATCAACTAATTTTTTATATAGAGAACAATTGACTTTGTGCATGATGTGTTCAGGTCAATTTCCTGCATAGGTCAGTAACTGATTTGTCGTAAAATTGAAGGTTAGCCTGATTGTTGTCACCAAGGACATGGCCACTTGAAGAATAGACACTCTACAGATAGAGATATCACCTTTTTGTCACCTACTATCAGTATACCTGTCATGGTTTTCCCAAGTACAGTCATATCTGCTCCAACAGCCTCCTGTCCAAGACAGTCACCTGTACAAATGACCACTGCCTGTTTCTCCTCTGCTGTTTTTTCTTGATATATAAATGAAGGCTAATAATCTGACTGCCCAATACTCTACTTGCCTAAGACAACTACTTTTCTCCTCAACAATAGGTGGCTGTCTTGGTCAGTTCCTATTGTACTTTGCCAAAGCACACAAGAGCAGACAATCTGTAGAATCAACAACAGCTGCAGGCAGCAACAACTAAAAAGTCTCTCTCATGCATTATCAAACTTTCTCTGATATAGGCAGCCTGTTTGAGCCAACACCACAAGACTTCTCCGTGGGGATCGCCCTACATGGAATCAGTAAGAGCTACGGAGGCAAAAAGAAGGCCTTGAAGAACCTCAACATCAACATCTACAGAGGTCAGATCACTTCACTCCTTGGGCATAATGGTGCTGCCAAAACAACCACTCTGTAAGTAAAGGATTCTCTTTTAACACTCTAAAGGGTCATTTGGCAAATGTAAATATGTTGTTTATATTCTGTTTCAATAAATCTTTTAAACACTTGTTACACAAAATGAGAAGTTTAAGTGCTTTTCTTAATACCTTATTGTTCTCTTTGGTTGTAGAAAATATAAATGAAAACATGTATCAGAATATATCTGTTCTGTTCTTATGCTAATGAATTTGGAAAATACTGAAATTTGAAAACTGATCTTCTTAAGTGTGTGTAATGCAGTGCTTTTTGTTTATTTCTGATTCTTAGGAAAATAATTTGCGGAGTGATGGAGCCAAGTTCAGGACGAGTCGTTGTGGATGGCTCAGAGCCAGGCTGTTGCAAGCAGACGTTGGGCGTCTGTCCTCAGCAGAATGCTCTCTTTGCCTAGTGAGTTCTTTGTCCTTGTTTTGTTCTGTCATAGAATAACAACTTTGCAGTCGCTGTTGAAGTGTTAAATGAATTATTCATAACTATCAGGATTTGTTGCAGAGAGATATATCACTTTACTCCTTTTTAAAAGCAGTTTGTGTTTTTTACCATGGAACCGACGTTTAAGATTTCCCTCAAACAAGACAAGAGTCTAAACAACCATCCAAATTATTCAAAATCACTACCACCACGTTGTCTTATTTAACTTCATTTAACTTTTTTCTTGTTATGTAGGCCTACTGCTAGAAACTTTTTTTGATTTTGTTATTGGACTTTTTTCATCATGCCACGATACTAAAATTGTCTTCATGTGGTATATTGAAGTACAGACATGTTTCGTTTCAGACACTTTTTCAATATTGTCAATCTCATTTGATGAAAAAGGCAGGTTTCATCACGCAAGTTTTGATAACCCAGGAATCAATGGCAATTGCCTGTAAAGAAAAAGTGCTTTTTTTTTTCAGCATGACAGTAATGCAGCACATGATGTTCTATGCAGAAATGAAGGGATCTAACAAAAAGTCCTGGAAGACGAAAGATGAAATTGAAAGGTAAGGAGTGATATGCAAAGGATTATGTCCATTAATTCTTTCTGAGATATTAGTTGAAGGACAGACAAAATTATTAGTTTACAAGGTCTTAAGCATGACTCGCCTAAATTGATTTATCCTTTCAGTGTTAACTTTTTTGTAGAGACTGGCAAACATCTATTGGCAGACAAGATTTTGTACAAACTTCATCCATTTATACTTATGTGAGGCAGCGTGGTCAAATCAGGCCCTGGTCAAAATAATGAGTCAAGAAAATGGCATTTTTCTGCAGGTTTGGGAATTTTTATCGAATTTTTGTTTTATGGCTCAACACCTTTTATGCCCATTAAAGAACACGTTTCGTTGTGGATTTTACTGAAAAACGTTGATCAAAGACATAAAAGATGCAAATTTTCAATTTCCTCGGACTCTGAAGAAAAGAAATAACTCCACTTTGGCAATCATTTTCTCGCTAATTCTACCTCTGAAACCAGGCAACCCCACCTCCTTCAATCGCCAATAGCATGACTTTTATCCAGGATAACTGGATACTCTTTTCATCAAAATCAAGGTAAATGGACAGGCTTTAAGATGATACCAATAACCCCATTTACCCTGAAATTGACGAGCGCCTGGTTCCACTGCATCCGGACACATATTAAGAAGACATCATTCAATTTCAGTACATTTGTACATGTATATTATGTCCACATGAAACCTGTTCTCTTTCTGTTTTGTTATAATGGACTTTGTCACCATTATCAAATTTGTCCTAATCACTTCGAGGAAAGTTGACTGGTCAAGTTTTTCTTCTTCTGCTACTTACAACAGGTTCAGTTTAGTTTCTTTATTCATTTCAGTTTAGTTCTTTTCTTCCGAATGAAAAGGGAATCTAAAGAAATGTGTTTCTGGATTGCCTACCACAGAAAATCACATTTCTTCAATTGCTTGATCTGAAACTGACAAGTACTTTAAATTCTGTTTTGCCCTTAGATATAAGATTGTCCATTCCATCATTGTTTTTTGGATATCACTCAGGCTTCTGAAGGATGTTCACATGTGGGTAAATCGTAATACACCTGTCCGTGACTTATCATATGGCATGAAGAGACGTCTCTGTGTTGCTTTGGCCTTTGTTGGTGGCTCACAGACAGTTGTGCTTGACGAGCCAACAAGTGGTGTTGACCCACACACGCGCAAGAATATCTGGAATCTCATCACCCGCAACAGAGAAGGTAAGAAATAAATGTTGTCCTTCTCTTTGTTTGATCACTCATCTCACATTTCTACCTTTTCTTCTGCTCCCTTCTTCAGCTTTGATTTTTCCTGGCTTTTCCTTTGTGACCAACAGTATACAGTCAAATCAGCTCTGACACAACCATCTGTCCCAGAGAATCACCTGTACCAACAAGCACTTTCCCTTTCCCTGTGGTGCTTTTTTCCGATATTGTAATGACACTGTTCAAGAGTCATCTGTCTAAGTTGACCAGTTTTCACCTCTACAATGGGTGGTCGTCTTGGAAAAATTTGACTGTATTTTTTGTCTCCTTTTGGCACATATTAACTGCCAACATTTTTTTCTGTGACTGGATTTGAATTTTGTGGTTTTTATCAAAATGAGCTGTCTGTGTAAGAAAAAAGAATACTTTTTAAAAAATGGTTTTGCACCCTGTGGGTGGAATTGATATGTTTTTAAGCATTCTTTTTTTTTAATGAGTTGAACACACAATGAGAAAAATTACTAAAATTAAGAGACAAAAGTTGTTTAAAAATATGTAGTTTAGGGTGCTCACATTTGAATTAAGTTAAAATCTTTTCTCTTCATTCATTCAGATTTTGATAAAGTAATTTTTTTCTTTAATTTAAGGGCTCTTTTTGGCCCCTTTTTTTCATGTATCACATTGGTTCTATCCTCAGATCGTACCATCCTGCTCTCCACCCACCACTTGGATGAGGCTGACATCCTCAGTGACAGAATCGCTGTGATGCACACTGGCAAACTGCTCTGTTATGGTTCTCCTGCCTTCTTGAAGCGATCACTAGGAGGTGGATTCAAACTGACTGTTGTGAAAAAGGAATCAGACAATTTTGTAAGCACTGTAAATTTCTCATAAAAAGATTATTTGCAATTTTCACCTCAGAACTAAAATATTTGACCTTACTATCCTTTTCCTTTTCTGGTTTTAGATACAACAGGAGTATTACTGATTATTGTGTAATTCTGTCAATAATGGAAATGTTCACTTTAATTTTTTCATTCATATTATACCAGCTGTTTATCCATAAATGAATAACATCTTTTTTGTTTCATTTTTTATGTTGCAGGAAATTGCAGCTGCTGAAAATTCATGTAAGTTGAAGTAGCCTCATGGATATCCCCTCACACTGAAAAGTGACTTATAGCTTAAATTATCTGAGAATAGAATTTTGTCAAGCGGGGTCAAGGTTTTAAGGTCGTGTAGACTTTGTGGTCTCTTTTCATATTTCTGGTCACTTTGACTGAAGTTTATATGATTTGTGTGGGGGTTTTTTTCCAATTTCAACCTGATGAAGCCTTGTCTAGGCCATCATATTGTAGATTAAGGTTCTTAACCTTAAAGTTTTCAAACTGACAAAGCTGTTCTGTGGTAAAACAAAAATTACCAACAAATGTTACTTTCATCTTTAAATAAACCTCCGTAGTAGAGTGGATCCAAAGGTTAAAAGGTCAAGTACGTGGACTGTTGGTCATTTTTTTAACTTTATCTGTCTTTATACAACTTGTGTTTTTCCTGCTATCCCTCTAACAATTAATTCCAGGTCAGAAGGCAGACATGTTCAAAAGTTTTCTCATTTAGTCCTCCTACATAGATGTCCATTCAATAATACCAGTCACAGAAGTCTTGTATATATTTTGACAAATGTGAAGCGTGCTGACAAAATGAGTTACTTCATGAGTTACCTTATGGAAAAAGGTACTTCACGCTTATAGGTGAAGATTTTATCATTTATATTTATGATATAATAAAAGGCATGTTATAGATGGAATCAAAAGAAAACGTACAGATTTGTAGATTTTTGGCCAATATCTCCATTTGTGGATTGTAAGAAGTAACTCATTCTGTCAGCACGCCTCACAATTAGTTAACGAGATGTCAGAAACCAAAGTTCAAAAGCTTGTGGTTCTCGTGATCCGTTTTCTTGACCCCAGTGTCACCAGCAGCGACTTATAGAATGTGTTCTTCCTGTTCTGTCTCTGAAACAGCTGTAAGCAAGTCTGAAGCCATCACCCGCTACATTCAGTCTCTCAGCCCGGGAGCCAAGCTGGTGGAGCAGATTGGACTTGAAATGACCTTCAACCTACCAAAAGATGAACAATCCATGACAGTTTCTTTCTACCAGTTCTTCAGACAGCTTGATGAATGCCAGCAATCTCTTGGGATATCCAACTACGGACTTTCTGATACCACGCTGGAAGAAGTAAATCTACTGCTTTTTAAATACCAATAGAAAACTTTTCTTTCTCAAGAAATGTAGTTTGACTATAAAAGCCTTCAGGATTTTATAAACTTAGTTTAGATGTCCTTGTGCTTCATGATGCTGAAAATGTTCTGATTTGTTATATGTAATATTTTGACTAAATAGAAGGAAAAGATTTTGTTAAACATCAAATGTCCCCCTCTATGAGCTGGGATCTGTGGCGACTAACCTTAAGACCAAATTGTTTAGGTGTGTTGTTGTTATGTGTAGTATGTCGCACTTGACGTTCTTTCAGCCCATGTCACTGGTGTCACAGAGACTTGGGCACCTGTGTCTATCAAGAAACGTTGTTTAAACTTAATGTCCGTGACAAACAGCTGAGTTGCTTTAGAATCTGTCGTCGTTGTTGAGCAACATTGCGGACCAACAGTCGGATCTTCTACTTCTACTGCTGGCCCGCTCTCCCGTTTCCCTGATGCTCTTTGTGTTGGAAATTCTTAAAGTGCTTGCATGGACTGCTGCAGCGTCTTAAGTTAGATCCAAATTTTCAATGGAACCAGCAAATAGCATCAGCTTTGGGCAGGTCATAAACAGAATCAGTAGGTCGCACCGCTGTATAGACTTTCAAATATGGCAAAAGGGAGTTGTACAGGTTATCCGCTTCTTTCGCCAATGCACGGTAATCTGTTTTGTGGTGGGAGTTCACCAGAGGAGCTCTAATAGATTCTGGCAACAGCTGTAAAAAAATATGGCGAAAAAGAAAACACGGTTTGTGTTCTCCCAACAAAACTAGCATTTTTTCGATCATCTCAGAGGGCCTGTTATCGCCCAGTTCTTTTATGCTCTATAAGGCTGCTGCTTTTTCTTCTTCTGATAAACTATAGGCCTCTATAAGGAAAGACTTGAGTGTGTCGTACTTTTGACTTGAAGGAGGTGAGGAAATTATGGATAGGGATCTTGCTGCTGTAGCTGCATTATATCAAGCGCCGCTACGACGTAGTAATATTTTGTCCTGTCAGTTGTGATCCCACGCAAAGCAAATTGGGCCTCTGTTTGTGCAAACCACGCGAAAGGACAAGAATTCCAGAATGTAGGAAGTTTGAGTGCTACAGTTTCGATTGACATGATTTTGAGAAACATGTCGCCGTTACTAGATTCTAGATTATGCTAAATTAAATCTAGATCTCTAGACAAGGTTACCTTAAATCACGTCGGGGTCACCAATGTAGCATGAAGAGACACACACACATGTAAGTCATTGCAGGACGAGACATAACTTTCATACATTCCACCCGAACAGCTTGGACACTTTCACTGAACTGTCACTCATGAACTCAAGTGCGACGTACTACACATAACAACAACACACCTCAACAATTTGGTCTTAAGGTTAGTCTCCACAGATCTAACACTATTTTATCACATTGAATATAACAATCAACAACACCTGAGAGGTCTGAGAATATTTGGCTTTTTCAAAGTCGCATTCTTCTCTGTCATTTAAGTACTGATATAGGTTGCTTTGTTTACCCCTACATGTATGATTGCCACATGACATTAATCTGTCCTTGTTCCCAGGTCTTCCTAGAACTGACCCTGAAAGCAGATGATGCCGACGAACCGGGCATTGTGAACCCTGTCATGACATCAAAAGACAGGACTACAGCACTGGATGCTCAAGATCTAAGTGAGTTTCTGCGTCTCTGTTTCTGTCTGTGTATGCTTATATATATACATATGCATGGTTTCATATGTCAAAATCTATTGTAAATATTGAAATGTAAACATAAATATGTATGTCATTAGTAATTCATACCTCAAATTGTCAAGCTGCTGGATTGTTGTCTTTTTCTATCTTATTCTGAAATTGCTACTACAAGAAAGTATTTCTATATAATATGTCATTTTCAATGGTTTCAGCTATATATGTGAATACATTTTTTGTCCAAGCATAGGTAATAGATCTATAGTGCTGACATTGACTTATAATGATCTTCAAGAATGTGATGCTTGTAACTTTAGTGAAGGGTGTGGCTCTTAGTGTGCAATTCTTAATCCTGTATTTTCTGTTAACCAGTTTACTCTGTTCTCCAGTTTCTGTACAAAACGAAATGGTTTACGGGTCCTGGAACATGCAGTGGTTTATTATTGCAGCATGTTTCCTTTTAGTTATGTTAGTTGTTACATGCATGCACGGGTGGGGGAAGGGGGTGGAGGTGTGATGTTGTAGTACAATAGTCTACCTAAAATCCCATCAACTATCACACCCCCCCCCCCCCAACCCCCAATTTTGCTACAAATCCTGTCTTTCTCAAGAACCAGATTTCTACTTTATAAAAGCCACTCCCTGTGATCTCACTTTAACAAGACAAGGCTGCCCTGTGATCCTGACTTTCTCCTTCATGATTAGCCAAGTGGAGCTTTCAACACACAGGCTTTAGTGTTATTCACTCTCGCAGACCAAGAGCAGGATGCATAGTCTGAAAATCATATTGTGTGTATGGGATTAGATTAGATTCTTGTGTCAAGTCATGAGAGCTTTCATCCTGCTTCAACAAAGCCTCTCAACTTCTCTGACAGTCAAAATTCACTTGTCTAGTGGACAGAATTGCACTATAGTTTTCCCCAGTTGCAGCAGACAATGATGAGATTAGGAATTATCGTGGTGAATTTAACTGACCTTTTGTTCTTCTCTAGATCTTTTGGCATGAGAGAGGATGTTTAAAAGACAGGAATGGATATTAAGAGTAGATCATTTGACTTTTAAGAGCAGGATAACAGGTTGAATCCAATAGTCATGCTAATTTGATTCCGATTGCTGGGCACCCTATGTTTTGCTGATTTTGAAGCTTGGAAATTCTCGGCAGAGACTGTTGTATTGACAATATCAAAGAGTCATAGTTCAGTAGGTTAAACTAATCATTAAGTAGTTTTAGAGGTAATAATGCAACCTTTGAAAGAGCTAAGTGATGTTTGTAATGGCATTTGGCTGAGTTTGCACAATTCACGTCTTTGCTTTGCTTGGTTTGTAGTTGTCATTGTTATGCCATGTCATGGGTTTTTTTTCTTACAGGTTTTGTATAATACAATGTCGTCACTGCGGTAGGAAAATGGCAAATCTCATTTTTGCTACTTTTGAGCTAAGTGTGAAAAACTGTTTAAGGAAAGTATTTATCATCTAATAGTGGTAAATCTTGCCATGCATGTTTCTTTTGTGACTGCTAGCGCATATTTTGTTTATTTTACCCAAAAAATAGATATTAGTACCACGAAACAAAATAAAAGGCTAGTTGCATTTTGGCGCAACTTTGAGTTATGCCATTTTGTTAGCGCAGTGACAATATTGACTTTTGAGGGGAGATTGATCCAAGCAACCTGTAACTTTTGAACTACAGTGTTTTTTTGTTTATATCTCCGGAAGATTAATAAGAAATGAAACTTACAGCTACAGTTAAAAGGTCATGACCTGGATCTCAACATATCAACAGTTTTGCAACAAAATTGGATGTATCCATTTTTTTAATTTTGAGAAAATTAAATATTTCTGTTCTTCACCCATTTTAGAGTAAACTTGATGTGAGGCTTAGTTGATATTCGCTAACTGATGAAATCTATGTTGGATTCTTATCCTTTAAATCGATGAGATCTCCTCACATTTTTGACAAAACGCGGCATTTAATAGTATAAGGAAGGGCAAAAACTGCTGACAAACTTTCGCCGACCACAAGTGAAGACACATGACTCGGGGAAAGAACTTGATTGGCGCACAGAAGATATGTCGCCGTCCATCAAAAAAGGTCTACCACTTTGGTCACGTTTTGTAAAAAAAATCGCAACTTTCTGAAGTTCTTTAATAAGGAAAAAAATCACTTTTTGTGAAGAAAAAAGTTAACTCTGGACCTTTCTAGCTACTAGTTTCGGCCAAACTTCGAAAGTAGCATTTGTCGCGTTTTGTCGCCAAACTGTTCCTATTATATCTGTGTGTTTTCTATAGTTTTTTTTTGTTTTATGATTATATCATATGTGAGGCAGTGGGGTGGAATCAGGCTCTCGTCAAAATAATCAAAGTGAAGAAACTTGCATTTTTCCGCAGGTTTGTGAATGTTTTTCAAATTTTTGTTTTTTGGCTCAACATCTTTCCTGCCCATTAAAGAACTCATTTCTGTCTGGATTTTTCAAAATACGTTGATAAAAGGCACAAAAAATTTTAATTTTCAGTTACCACGGAGTCTTAAGCTAAGGAAATAACCAATCTTTCGCGGCCATTTCCTCGCTAATTTTATCTCTTTAAACAGGTGACCCCGACCTCCTTCTTTTGCAAATATCTCGACTTGTATTCAAGATAAATGGATATTTTTTCCTTCCAAATAAAGACAAGTGAACAAGCTTTAAGATGATACCAATAACTCTACATGCCCAAAAATTGATGAGAGCCTGATTCCACCACGCTGCCTCACATATCGATAGTACATTTATCAAAATTGCACAATGAAAACATTTTTGATTTGTGTATCATAAGTAGCATTCTGCATGCTGGATTTTGAGACATTATTCAGAATATATAATGCATTTGTTTTTCTGGTTTACACGCAGGTAGTTTCCTTTTCACATTATTTCTCTCATAGGTCAGATTTGCAGGGCAAAGTGTTGTTCCTTGGGCACAATCTTTTTTACGTACATGTGGAGGTTTTTTTAAAAGTAAAATAGCTTATAAAAAATTATTTTATCTCCCATGTTTGAGCAATTAAATATTTTTTTAAAGTCTGGATCAGAATCTTTGGTACCTTAGACTGTTCAAATATACCAATACAATGAGAGAATTCTGATGCCACCAGTTTCTGTCAGATTTTGGCTTTTCTTTTCTTTTGTTTATGTTTTTAACAATGGCATTCAGTCTTCATGACGTCATTTTTTTGTATTAAGAAGTTCATTTATTATGATTTCAGCCTTTTTTTTTTACAATATATATCTTTACCCTTATCTGTGCGTTGTGAACCGAGGCTTTGTGCATGAAGCAGATGAAGCTGAGGAATTCATTGAAACCTTGAAAGCCCTAAGCCTCATCGCAAAAATCAAATATTGTTTTAATTTTAGGAATGGAAACAAACAAAGAGTTTCCAAAGGACAAAGTGCTGTTTGGCCCAGCTTTGAGAATAGGCCATTCTGGTCCCCATCGGAACAAAATGGGCTTTATTCTAGAAGGTAACTCACCAATGAAGCGCAACCTAACATTTATAGGTGTTACACTGCATGCTTCTTTACACAAGCACAGACTCACATGACTTAAGTATAGCTACTAATAAAAGAGTGCATGATTTTTCTTTTGTAGTTGAAGTGCTTGATTTTTAAAACTTCTTTAATGCCTACACTGCTGTGGAAACTGGCTTTTCAATTTCATGCAGTGTCTTTCATCTGCTTCTAATAGTTTGGGTTTCATTTGCTATTTCTGTCCTCAGAAATGTGCTACACTTATAAAATTCTACTTTCTTCTTTCATGCTGTTGACGTGTGCTGGGGACTGTCAGACATTTTTTTTCCAGAGTTTTAGCCAAGTTGAGGCTGCAAGTTTTTGATGGACCCGGACACTTGATAGATATTGCTCATCTTTTTAAAGAGCATTTCTTTGCTTTAATTTTTGTTTCTATGTTCTTATTGATGATTGTATCTGCTTTCAAATATTTTTTCCATTAAACCTGACTTGCATCTGTAAATTACAAGCTTTGGATTTTGCATAATTATATTATCCATTTCAAAAATGATTTTTTCTTCCTTTAAGCACATGGACATAAGTTCTTCTATACATACTGGCTTTGAATATATAATTTTTACCCATCAATATCCATTCCCTCTTTGTACCTCTGCTGACAATCTGCCTGACATTGTTCATTTCTATTTTTACATTAGCAACTTAAGTGTTTTCTTTTTTTTTCTGGGTGGTTGCATTTTTTTTAAAATTTATTTTATTTTATATAGAATAGTCTCCAGACCCAAAATAGAATTAAATCAGATCAGTGTCAAATATACATATATGAATACCATAATGAAGACTACCCATGGTAAATTGCTTAAATGAAAAGGTATTTTGTTTTTCTATGGAAACATTTTTAAGATTGATTAGAATATGAGAAAGACAAAAAAATTGTGCCTTTTAGTTACGACCAGTAGGCCTACGTAACAAAATCTGTACTTCCAAGAGCCTCCACTATGATTGATAAAACCTTTTTAATGGTTTAAAAAGGATGTGTGAGCACTCTGTGCTTGTGCATGCTGGTTCTGTTTTGGATCTTTCTTAGGGTTTGAAGAACACTTTAGACTGATTACCGTCTTATGGTACTGGAGAATAACAAATGATTAACAAGGATCATAGACAAATAATGGAGTCTTTCCACTACTCTCTTTACATGGTGTTGGGTTCACAGTGTATTCACAGTGAAAATAATACACAAACGCTTAAAGTAAAGGGTCACTGACTCCACATGTGGTCAAAGATATTGAAAAAAAAGTGAACAGTTTTCTCATCAATGCTGCTACTTTCCCTAAATAATACAGTCTTTGTTCTGTTTTAGATATCCAAATCATTTGAAGAATGAGATTTAACATTGTTTTAATTTCAAAAGAATACCCATATTATACAGCCCCCCCTCCCCCCCAACCATTACCTCTCAATCTCTCTCTCTCTCTCTTTCTCTCTCTCTCTCTCTCTCTCTCTCTCTCTCTCTCAAATAATAAATTCTTAAGTTAAACAGTCTTTTGAAAAAGAAAAAAACCGTAACAAAAAACAAATGATCGACAGTACTCTATATGCTTTGGCATAAGTTTATTCTGAAAAAAAAATTGTTGCAATGCTTCAATATATATGCTTTTGATAAATGTGATCTAGGCTTTTAAACTTATGTCAGATGTTCTTTAATTTCATTTTGGGATATTACTGGGAACAAATCTAACAGCAGCAAAAAGCTGATTGCTTACAAGCTATCAGACTTTGAGCTCATAGTGTAAATGTTTCTTTCTGAATAGACTGAACATTGCTGCTGATCTCTTTTTACCTCGCATATTTTTACTTTTGGTAACAGTAACAATGTTGATCACGAAATTTTATATGTGGCTCACCAAGTCCTGATCAGCCTTGACTGTTTCCCAAGTCAATTGTCATTTAAGCTTGAAAGCCTTGAAATTTGACCTTCATTAATTTATAACTCATTCATTTTCACAACATGAGTTATTTTTAGAATATCTTCCAACATCCAGAACCAAGATTTTCATGTTCTAGTACTAGGTCAACTTTTATTCTCCAGTGAGCCCTTTCTCAAGTTTTCACAGGTTTTTCTGTTTTCCTGTTCTGTGATCATATTGTATGCCTAGGATCTCTAGTCGGCCACTGCCTTTGAAATTGGATTTAAATTATACTTTGCTGTTTGGTAATGTAGTGGGTTTATTTCATAGCCTAGTGAGTCTGTTGTTATCTTCGCCTTGTGTGACATTTTCATTGGTAGTCTTCAACTAAGTAAAAATGTTTATCTGAATAGTAAAAAGTATTCATAAGTTCAAAAGAAAAATTACAATTATCGTTTTTATCTTTTCTCAGTCGATCTTTTTCTTTGTTTATATATTGACTCTCCACCAATGTTCCTAAATGAATCTTGTTTTCACTCTTTAACCCAAAACGAACTGTCTCTATTCTTGTCCTCCAAGCTTTGAAAGGATTTAGAGAAAAGGTAGCCTCTCAATAAAAAAAACACGTAAGTAGTTACATCAGATGACATATTTGGATGTAAAGTTTTAACCAGCTCCAATGGTGTCAACTTGGACGGAACAATTTTTTAAATAGTAGGTTGTAGGTTTGAATAACTGTCAGGTAATGATTCATATTGCCTTCTCTAAGCAAACACCGGATAAAAAGTCATATAGAATTTCATACTAAATCTGATATTCTATTTCTGTGGCCAGTATTTTTACTTTGTTTATTCATTTCTTTCTCAGATGAACAGGCCTCCTCCACTGACCTGAAGACCCGAAGTACCGGAGCGTCCCTCACAATGCTGCAGGCAAAGGCATTGTTTTTGAAGCGTTTCCACCACTACCGTCGCAACTGGCGTCTCTTCCTCACCTGCCTGCTCTTACCATTGCTTGGCTTCCTCATTGCCATAGCCTTCTCCACAATCCGGCCGGATGAGAATGAACTGGAAGCTCTTGTTCTGGACCCAGCAATCTATGGACCAAAGATTTACAACTTTTTCCAGTGAGTTTAACCCCTACCCTATGGAACTAAACAACTGTCTGAGCAGACACTATCTTTAGCCTACCCTTCTGTGCATTGAGCTCACACCTCAGCCTGCTGTTGTATAAATCCAGCAGTGCACCCACTGGAGCTTAGGTACACAGTTCCTACAAGCACTGCAGACAACAACTGAAGGGGTTAAAAAGGGAGCAATGACAGTCATATATCTCTGGAAGCCTCTTGTTGGAAGTTGGGTACTTGAAAAAAACAGGCTTCGGTCAGATCCTAACTCTTTCATCAAGACTGTCTGAGGCTCTTTGGTAGGACTGTGGAGCAGGCAGATGGTTGACTCTTTATCTCCGGCAAGCCGCTCCTTGCAGCTCACGGTCACAACTACTGTGCCAGTGAGCTGCTGACAGCGGCTCGGGCACATTCCTTTATGATGACTTCGACATCAAATTACTTTTCAGCAATTGCCAAAAACTGTTCTCTTTTGTCGGCAGTTCATTCATTAGATGAAAAACTATCAAAATAGTTTGACTTGTTTTGAATTAATAACCCTTTTAGTGACATTTTTTGTGATTTTTAGATTTAGTGCCAAAAAAGGGACCCACTGTAGAGAAGAGTTTTTTGTTACATTAAATATTGCATCACACTAAATCTTAAACCATTTTAAATTTGTAAATATAATGAGTTTTTAATGTTGAGATTTGGGAAAAATTAAATTTTATTCATAGTCCTACAAAAATAAAAGCTAAAATGAAATATATTTCATGCCACTACATATTTTCTTTAGCATCTGCAGGCCTTATACTTTGACATATTCTTCAATACTTTCCATAACTGGAAACTACATCATGATGAGGGTTTTCCCCTTGTGGGAGATTTTTTTGTCTCATATGTTTAGAAAAAAAAACAACAACCTAAAATTCATAATGGCGATGTGTCAACAGCAACTAAAAAGCGAGAAGTTGGTCAAGATAAATGGCGGGAATCATCCTTTCTAACCAGATTCAATGCCTATACCAATTAGAACAAAGACACTTGCTAAATATAGTAAACAATGTTCACATGGGGCCCCGTCCCCTGTTACCTTACCCTCCCCCCCCCCCCCAACCTCCTTATGGTCTTTTATCAGCAGTATCTTTCAAGCCATCATTTCCCCTAAATGTGCCTTTTATACTTCACCCCCCCCCCCCTCTCTCTCAGTCATCATTAGTGATAGATCTGTGTATTTCTATTAAAAACATTGTTTCAAGACCTTTATGTCTATTCAGGTATCCCACAAACTGCGTTTGTCGTTTCCTGATTGTTTCTAACAGTGAGCGTCCCACGTTATTATAGTAGTTATAGAAAAAATGGGGGGGGGGGGGGGTAATCTGAAATGGTTGTTTGTACAGATGATTGTCCATGACAGGCTTCTATAACAGCAAGTTCAACTGTGTTTCAAAATCTTTATCTTTGCCTTTGTTTGTTCCAGGGACAAAGCTCACTCCCCAGAGTCTGAAAGATACGTCACAACTTTGACAGATAAGAACTTTGGTGTTGGAACCACTTGCTTGATGGAAGCTGCTGAAAAATATCTGGAGTAAGATACTGGATTCCTGCTTTTGAAAACACTCCTTTTAAAGTTAATTTATTTCCCTCCCTGGTTTTGTTTTGTTTTTGTTTACTTTTTGTTTAACAAGTACTTATTAGTGAAAAAAAGATCAGGTCATCGGCTCTTCTGTTTACCCACACTCAGGGTCGGGAAAGATTGAAAAAGCAGTCAAGAGACTGAATATTCTGTATTCTGACCTATAGTCAGAGCTGTTTTAATCCTTGAGGCTGAATGGTCGCTTTTAAGCATAGGGAGCTATCCAGAAAAATGCTGTTTTGAGAAAATCAAAGGTAAAGTTTTTGGACCTTTGTTCAGTTTCTTTAAAAGACAAGGAGGCTTTTCTCTATATCCAAACAAATATACACACCAATGAAACCGAACCTCTCCTATAAGTAGGGCACTAGGAGTAGGTCAAGATTTCTGGAAAGCCCGAAATCTGGGTTAGCCCGCATGTCTTTAAAAGCGACCATGTATATTTTATATTTTCCCCTCATCGTTCACTGATGTAAATTGTTGAGAGTATTTTTGGTTTCACTTTTTACTTAGAGTCAGTATCCTGTCTTTGTTTATAATCATGAAAGTGCACTTTTTTGTACTATTATGAAAAGGTTGTATGTCACGAAATGGTGGATCAGGCGCTTGTCATTTTTTATGCATTTGGAGCCATTGATATCATCTTAAAGCTTGTTTATTTTTTTTGCTTTTGATGAAAAAAATACCCATCTGCCTTGAATTGGAGCTGAGATATCTAGGATTGAAGAAGGCAGAAGGTAAGCACGGTATTAGAGGTAAATATAGCAAGAAAATGGCCGCCAAGGTTGGTGACTTTCAAAGTTTGACTGTCCTTGGAAACTGCAAATTTACATTTTTTGTGCCTTTACTCAGCTTTTTTTCAGTGAAATCCAGTCTGTTTTTACGTGGACATGAAAAGCGTTGAGTCAAGAGAAGAAATTCAATAAAAACTGTCCAACAGGCAGAAAAATGCCGGTCTCTTCAATTTCATCATTACGATGAGCACCTGATTTCACCACGATGTGACATACTTTAGTTTCTGTGTTTTTGTGATAAATTGATAGAGCAAACATTAATTTGTCCATTTTCCTGCTCATCAGACAATACGACCAGTGTGTAGCTGGCACCCCATGGTACAACAACACAATGGAAGTTTACTGGGAAGTCTGCCAAAATGCTAGGCAGGTGTATTCATCCCTGGGCACATACTTAAGTGTTCCTGAAAAGGTCATCCCATCTGACCAGTATCTACAGGACTTGAAACTGGAAATTGAACCTTATATCATGTATACATTCAAGGATTACAAGGACAAAAGGTATGAAACCACAAAATTGATCCGTTATTTCTTCTTTCTTTCCTTAGATATATCATTACTTTTCTCTTTTTCAGTCTTTAAAAATGATTTTGTTCAAATATTATGAGTTCCCGTTTCAGGGATTTTTCATGTGCTTGACTTTGTGCTTTACTTTGTGACAACACTTGCTTTCTCAGCTGTCACTCATGATGTCCCCCCGGGGCGATGCCTCTGACTGAAGTGTCTTTAGGCCATTCCCAAAGGGGGGACATTTCTCGTTCAAGCATAGTAGAATTAATTGTAAATGGGCTGACTCATGTCACGCTCATAACTGTGCCTGATCTACAGCAGGGAACTGCTGCTTTTTCTTTCCTGATCCTTACTATTGTCATTTTCCTCTACTTCTTTTGTATGTTTGTCACTCTCTTGTGACCTGCTATTTTGGGGTGCCTTGATAGTCGAAGCAGACCTTGTGCTGTTGAAGCTAGAGAGGTGAGCAGTCTAAGTCTGATTCCCTGTAAAGACTTCTCTGTTGACATCCACCCCTTGGCGCTCATATGACCGTATGCAGTTGCGAGCGCCGTAAAACCCTCTACTATTAAAAGAATGTACTCATGATGTCTCTCTTTATTCTCTTCAGTGTTGATGCTCACTCTTTTGTAATAGATAATGATGATAATAATAATAATAAATAGCATTTGTATAATGTGTACCCAAGCTCATCAGAAATAAGGTCTATGCACTTTACAATCTATATTACGACCCCAGCAGACTTCAGAACACGCAGAAACGTTCTGAGCTCTCTGGTTGCATACAGTGTGAGCAGCCAAATAACAACACAAACACTAACAAATTCGCCAGATCTTTCGCCGTTTATTGCCAAGTACCCATTACCACCTAGATGAAGGGAGGAAAATTCATGTTAAGTGCCCTTCCCAAGAACAAGATGTCCGGTCCTTGATGGGGTTTGAATGCACGGCTTTGGTTGCAAGCCCAACAGCTTCACCACCAGACCACCGATACCACTTGTTTTGTTTTTTGTCTTTTTTTTTTTTTTTTGGGGGGGGGGGGGTTTCAAAGGAAAATATACTCACTTCAATCATAAAAGAGCCCTATTGAAGTCATATGTTTTTGGTTAACTTTTGGCCAATTGCATTGTCTCTCTGGGCAAACTCTCTAATGAAATCTTACATCTTTAGTTAAGTCTTTGCTGTTTGTGTTGTTTCTCCTAGCAATTAATGCCCTTGCGTTGCCACAGTGTTTTCTTGCAGTTTGTGACAGAAAATTGCTCAAAATGTTGTAAATTCATTCCTTATGTTTTTCACAAAAGAGATAGAAGAAATAAAAATAAATGAATTGTGTCTCGAGACATTTCTAAACATAAAAGTAGAGATTGCACGAAGAAAGAAGGAAAATGTCATGGTTTATTTATTTAGATGAATAGCGGCAACTGCTGTTTTTGTTTGTTTTGGTTTTTTAACTTTGTGAGTTTCAGTAAGATCTTTATTGTCTATTGAAATGTCAAAAATAGAGTAGGGAGCGTTGAGCTTTCATGTTGATGATTGTTGGCACATTCCAACAGGTTTGGAGGCTGGACATTTGAGCAGAGTGCCAGCCCAGGAACACCTACTGTTGATCCTTACGTGTGGTTCAACTCTAAGGGTTACCACACCATGCCTTCCTACTTCAACTCCATGAGCAACATTGTGTTGCGTGCCCTACTGCCCAGTGGCAAAAAGCCCAAGGAGTATGGTATGTAAATGGAATGAGAAATGCTTGAGGAAACATTTTTTTTTTTTTTTAAAGATAAAACTGCAGTCATCAATTTTTTTTAGGAATTTAGGGGTTCAACTAAGCAGTCAATTTACTTTTTATTTTCTTTAAATTTTTGCATGAAAGAATCATTCACGCTTATCTGCATCATGAACAGATGAACAAAGCATCTTCCAGCTTTTTAAGATCAGTGAGTAAGGACGTGTCTGTTGTAGATAGATGCCGCTCTCTTTCCAGAGCTCACAGTTGGAAGCACATAAATGTGTCGACACGGTGGAATAAGGTGCTCGTCCATTTTTCGGCATGTGGAGTTATTTATGTTGTCTTAAAGCTTGTTCACATGTCTATGTTTTGATGAAAAAATACCAATCTATCTTGAGTAAAAGTTGAAATGTTTTTGATTGAAGGAAGTAGGGTTGCCTGATTTCAGAGGTAGTATAAGCGAGAAAATGGCTACTAAAGTTTGGTGACTTCTATTGGCTGAGAATCTTTGTAAACTAAAAATTGTCAGTTTTTTTGTGCCTTAAATCAATGTTTTTTCTATAATCTACTTAGAAATGTGTTTTTGAATTAGCATAAAAGCTGTTGATCTAAAAATCAAAAATATGATAAACATTGCCCCAAAAACAGAAAAATTCTAGTGTCTTTGATTTCATTATTCTGACGAGCGCCTGATTTCACAACGATACCTCACAAATGACCCTGGGGCATTTGATCTTTGACGTCGGGTAATATTGTTTTTAAATCCCATAAACATACCTTTTTTACTGACAAATTGACTGAAATTTATACTCACAAATTATTGTTGTACCGTTTTTAATTCTATTTATTGTGTTTCACATTATTATCAGGCATTACAGCAATAAATCATCCTATGAGATTTGGCCGCCCTGCTCTCACGATGAAATCTTTGTAAGTATCATTTTTAGCAGTTAATAATTTTGCATATGAAGTGAATTTTCAGTGGCTTGATAAAGTTTTCAAATGATATCTGGTCAGTCCTAACATTTAATTAACAGGCTTTATCTAAACTGGAAAAAGTTTCCATTCATCTCATTTCCTTTTAAATCAGTATGAATGATAATGGCCACTTATGAGTATCATGAAAAACATGAGTGACTGAAAAGCCCATTAAAGAACTATTAAAAAGAGGCTGATGAAGAGAAAGATGGGTTATAGAAAAATAATTGAAAGCTTGCGTAGGGATGGAAAATGTGAAACATATACAAAACGTAATACAAAAAGAAAGCATTTTTTCATATTTCTCAGATAAAGACTTGGCAGTTTCAGAAACTTATCAGCGGTATCAGTAGCAAAAAGACCAAAATAGCAACAATTTGATACTCAAGAGGCAGATACAAATTGGGTAGATCAATCTCTCAACTTCTATTATCTAACTGACTTGGACACTGAGGCAGTGATATATACCATAGAAGACTCATGTTCCTTGGTTTGAATTAGGAACAATTTGTTTCACCCCCAGAACATAAGAAATTTGAATAAATTTGCCTTTGATAACCTGGTTATGAAAACGTGCATTTTTTCTTGACAGACAAACTGATGCTGCTGATGCTGGAATTGCTGTGCTGGTTGTTGTTGCCTTCAGCTTCATCCCTGGTGGCTTCATCCTTTACCTCATCAATGAGCGCACACAGAAACAACGTCAGCTCCAGAACATCAGCGGGGTTGGATTCTTCTGCTACTGGATCGTCTCCTTCATATGGGATATGGTGAGCTAGTTTGTTTATCGGACTCATGATTCCCTGACAGTTTTGTCTTCCTAATTCAAAGAAGAAGAGGTGGGGGGTTTTTTTTAGTTCTTTGTAGAAAAGTTTTCTTAAATCCAACTGAACCTGCACTAGAGGCTAATGGATAAGCTAACAAGATTTTTATAAATATAGACAACAGGAAGTAGCCTACAAGGAAAAGATTGTTGATCTCTTGCATTGTATTAAGTCTCTTGATAGATGTCTCCGCTGCTTCATCTTTTTCTTTCCGCTTGAGATGACCAGCCTTTTTTTCACTTAGAACTCAACTTTTCCTCTTTCTTCCAATCTTTAGTTTCTTCATAGAGATGGTCTTGTGGTGTAATGCTGTAAATGTAAAGTTAACTTATATTTTTCGTCCGCTAATCAATAGCTTTGTTGTATTACAATGTTAGTGGGGTTTTTTTCTTTTTTCAGTTTGTGTACAGTATTGCAGTTGGCTTGGCAGTGGTTATCGTTTGCATCTTCCAAATGGATTCGTACTATCTAAAGGACAATCTAGCAGCCTTTGCAGTCATTCTGCTTTTGTTTGGGTAAGTGAATTCAGAACAGATATCTGTTTCAGATTAATACTTGAAAAAGAAGAAGTCAAATTGCTCTTATACTCTTCAAATTTTTATATCAGAAAGTTTTTTATTACATCCATTACAGCATATTTTTTGTAAAAAAATTTTACTAAGCATCTTTCAAATGTACCTCTACAGTGTTAAAAAATATGATAATTGTCCTTTACTTGATAAAGAAGCCAGTAGGTGCTATCAATTAAGTAATTATGTCAAAGAACAATTTTAATTACAATTAAATTAGAAAAGGGAATATCTTTGAGTAAGTCATATCAACTATAACATAGATCTTTTGGTAGCACACAGCTTTGAAAGATCCTGTTATACATAGAAAAGCTGAACAGGTAAAACTCTTATATTACACTAAAATATATTGGGCTTAATTCCTGATTTATTGACAAATTGTTTGATCTCAATGATATTTATTCCATGTGCATCTAGATAAGCTTTTTTTTTTTTGCTTTATCTTTGACTATGTATTCGTTGAGTGAATTTCAACTTCTATGCTGTTTGCTTTAATAGGTGTATGCACATTTGTGAACAACACAATGCAAAAAATAGACTTTTCTACTTTTTCCATGATTTGCCTTTAACCATTTCCCTTGATTGCATATGAATAAAAGTCTAATAGTGTCAAACACAGACTTTTTTTTAATATTGTAAAACTCCTGATTTATGATTTTTACGCGGGAGTAAGATTCACAATAAACACTATTTATGTACCAGCCATGACCTCATCCTCCCCCTCTCAATATGGAGTGGAATACTTTTTATTATGAAGTGTTTGTGTTAATTGTTAATAAGTTGTGCTCTATAAATGTTTCCTCTGTCTGCTCAGCTGGTCCATCATCCCATGCACATACTGCGTGGTGAGACTGTTCTCCAGGGGAAGCACAGCCTATCTGGTGACCTTCTGCTGCAATTTGTTCATCGCGCTCATCTCTGTCATTTCCCTGCTGGTCATGCAGCTGTTCCGTGACTCAAACGTAAGTTTTGTAATGCTACACTGCTTGAGGTAGACTAGATGTCATGAGAAGAGATAATTTTTTCTCATAAAAGTTTTGAGTCTGACAAATTCACAGATAGATGTATAACACTCTTACAGACTTATACTCATTGTATCAAGAATTATAATAAAGATGATTTCTAAAAGAGGTTTAACATTTTAAAAGTAATAATCAATATCAGTGAATTAACAATTTTAAAAAATAAACATGTGCAGTTAAACCTGTTCTAAGAGACATCTTTCCAAGACAATCACCTGTACAAATAAGCACTTACCACTTCCTCCCTTGCCTTAAAAAAAATTGTAATGACCTTGTCCAAGATGTCCACTTGTTTAAGACAACCACTTTTATCATCAACAATGGGTGGCCATGTTGGACAATTTCAGCTCTTTGTAGGAGATAATGAACCATCATTGTGCTACTTTTGACCCCCAAAAACGTATGTATATGTATATCCTATCTAATGGTTTGTCTTTGCCTTCTATCCCCAGTCTGTGTGGCAAGCGTACAAGGTGTGCAAGTACCTGTACCTGATATTCCCCCAGTACTGCCTGGGTCAGGGACTCATGGACATGGTGTCCAGTATGTTCTTTTACAAACTCTTCCTCAGGTAAACAAAGTTGTTTTGTTTTCAACCTTTGTCTGGTGAACAGTAAAAGTTAAATATAACCCCCATTTTAAACTACCATATCTAGTGTGCCACAACCAAGATTACCATGGCTGGGGGGTTCGCAGTGGGGTTGCAACTATGGCTTACTTACGAAAAAAAAAAGAAAGAAGCAGATTCTGAATGTCATGATGCGCAAAGATTTTCCTTTTTCTTAGTGGACATGATCCCTGGTTTTTTTCATTTCAAGGGAATGCAGTCAGAGTTTATGGCAGTTTGTTGGGCGTCAGTTCAAGTTAGTGTTGCATCATAAACAAGCACTTAGATGCACCTTTAGCTGTTGGTAATACTACTCTTATTGCTGTTTAATCCGTCAGCAAAATAACAAACATCTGTGTATGGAAAAGCTGTCGGAGCTAATGATTTTTCTGCTGCTCACTAGTACGAATCAATGGCACTAATGGCAGACCTATAAGTAAGTCAATGAAGACAAGGATGACATCTTATTATGTAAACTCTCTCAGCAGTTATTAATAGCTGTTGTTGCTCTTTTCTCACATTGCAAAAAAAAATTAGTATAAAACAAAGAAAACTATTAGAGTTATTGCTCATTTGCTGTGCTTGAGAGTCCTAAGTCCCTTGAAGCGTCTGATGTCCCCAATGTCTGGGGTGTAATGGTTAGGGTTTTTGTCTTTGCACGCAGACAATAGGCCTAAGAGTTTGACTCCCAAGAGGTGAAGTTTCTTTATCGAGTTTCTTCATCTGTCTGCTGGGATGTTGTATCCTAATTATCCCAGGTTTTGTGAGTTAGACAGGGCTAATACAGCCCATCTAGTAAAAGATTTAAATGTGTAATGGGAACGTAAAGCGTTTTACAATACAATGCAGAGAATTTTACATTACGTTTAATGTTGCGTCACGCTTGAGCACTCAGGAGACCATTCTTATTGTCATTATACAGTTTAATATTACGTAATTAGTAATTGCTTGGGGGAAACTGTTTGTTATTTTTTTGGTTGTTCATTGTGCAAGAGTTTACTCAACAGGGCGGAGAGCTAAAATAATTTTGTCCTTCGAAATAAATTAATATACTAATAAGCAATTATTTTAGCTTTCTTTCTGCTATTATTACTGTTGTTGTTGTTCTGTCAGACAGTAAAATATTGTTGATGTCTGACTCTAACCATGATTGTAAATGAAAAATGATTTTCAGAAAAGTGGGAAAAAGAGTATTTTCCTTCTTGTTATCTATCGGCATTGCCCAAACTTTTGGGCAGTGCTCTTTTTTTAAAGTTATAATCTCACCAATTGAAATTACCATTGTGAGTAACATGATTGTGACAGAAAAAAAAGCATTTGACCTAATTTGGCAGATGCACAGTTAGAGTTGGATACCTATATATGTAGTTATTATTGTCTCGGTGTCTTATTGACTTTTTTATCTCTTTAACTGTTGCCAGGTTTGAGGCGGACCGATACACCAGTCCTTTCTCTCTTGAAGTGATTGGCTGGCATCTCATTGCTCTCGCTATCCAAGGTGCGGTCTTCTTCATTGCAGCAATGGTGATTGATGCAATAACAAGTCCAGCTCTCAGGTACATTCAATTGTCCATTCCAGTTTCTTAGACAAAAATAAATGCGAAAAACAAAAGTGTAGATGTGTATGGAATTCTTCTCACCGTGTTTCAGCTGCTTTCTAAACATTCTGCCTTCCCCTTTCTTCGTCAGATACTGTTGTTGCTTGTGAATGTTTCAGGGAACATGTAATCTTGTAAAAGTCAGCATGTTACGGTATACTAAAATATTTATACTACTTTTATACTAGAAAGAACAAAGTAAGACAGATAGACAGAAATAACAGAGGTAAAGAAAAGAAATTGGACCTACCAACGTTGTCCGTTAACTTCCCGCCTTCTTGATTTGTGAATGTAGGCCCTACATAAGTTGCTATTTGTTCATCGACATTTTCAGCCTGAACGACAAGCTGTTAAGCAAGTACGAGATGGATGATGCAGATGTGGCCAGAGAGCGAGAACGTGTCTTACATGGCTCGAATAATGATGTCCTGGTGGTGGACAGTCTGTCAAAGGTTTGTTTTGTTCTTCTTCTAGATTTCCTCTTTTTCCTTAAACCTATCCGTACGCACTGGGGTTATTTTGTACTCCCGGGGTTGTATTCTTCACATTTTAGAATACTTCCAGTATGAAGATCTCTTTGAAACTTTCAATATTTCTCAAAAAATCATTTTGACAAACTGCTATTCAACGCGTACAGATCGGATTAACAAGTAAATTCATCTTTGGAAAGTGATGGCACAGAGTTCCCCACGTCACATGGATACGATAGTAAAACACGACGTACAGATAAGGTTAAAGCGTCAGACGTGAAGTAGATATTGGTTATAGCGGTTCACCACTCATTTCTCTGGTTCTGTGTCACATTGGTCTTTTTCGGTCATTAGCCTGTTCAACCTTTCTAAATAAATTAATCTTGATTTGCTTCTAACTCTTTAACCCTCTATTTTTCTGGTGCGATTTATTTTTATCTATTTGGGAATGATGAATGTAGCATGGAAATAAGTCAAATATTTCTTCCATTGTTTCTATGTAGATTTTTGTTATTGGCAATGTCAATAAGAAAAATGAATCTATAACTCCTGGAGAAGATAATTATGATAACTATATTAATAGTTATAATGATTTTCTAAATGGTGTGTGAAATTTCAAACATTGAAAATTTCATTTTGTTTTGATCACAGGTGTACAGGAGAGGTTTCAAGAAGTTCTTGGCTGTGAACAACATCAGCTTTGGAGTACCAGAAGGCGAGGTCAGCGATCAGAGTCTCTCTCTCTTTCTCTCTCTCTTTCTCTCTCTCTCTCTCTCTCTCTCTCTCTCTCTCTCTCTCTCTCTCTCTCT